TGTGACCACAAGAATGACGGGATTTATTGTTTGATATTCACAAATGGCCGAGTTGCTAGACGCCTGGAACAAAGTGTGGAAGTAAACTGCTGGTGAAAAAGGGCATGGAAGTGGTCAGAAGGTTTCAGTGGAGCTTGGCAGGTCGAAAGCCGACGAACGTCACAATTCCCAGTCATAATAATATTCCCAATCGTCTCTCTCACGCTTCCCGAGTATCACATACCAGCCGGAGTCAGTGTTGCCGTCTACTCTTACACTCTGAGGTGATTTGGTTCATCTTAGCCCACGCAACTCGGATCTTTGCCTGCCTACCGCACCCGCGCACTCGCCATAGCACCCGCCGCTCTTGCAGATTTATCGACGATTGAACTTATTGCAGCCCGTGGCTTTGATTAGTACCATGGCTCAACCTACCCAACTCGCATGTGCGTTTCCTCTTCGCATGCCAGGCAGAGACAACGAGTACTGACACGTCCCAGATCGCACGGCCAAGGGTGTTGGCATCTTGAATGCCGCGCCTGCATATGAAGCGCTCCCAGGCTTCACGCGGCCAGAGGGCAACCTCCGCTGCTGTGTCTACTCGCCCGACGGCCGCTTCTTCGCCTGGGCCTCTCCTGACCAGTGAGCCTCTTGCCTCCTTCAATTGTCTCTTCTTTGCTGACACGTCATCCAGNNGGTGACCGTCGTCGACGCAGCTCAAGGCCATACGGTCGCGACTCTGCCCACCCAGAACGTCTTCGAGCTGGGCTTCTCCCCTCTTGGTACCTACATCATCACCTGGCAGAGACCCACCAAGGACGAGAACGGTGACGCCGTCAAGAACCTCAGGGTCTGGCGCACCCTCGGCGACGACGCCGACCGCCAAGTCGTTGGCCAGTTCGTGCAGAAGAACCAGACCGGCTGGAACCTGCAATACACTTTGGACGAGGAGTTCTGTGCTCGTTCCGTCACCAACGAGGTGCACTTCTACAAGACGTCGGACTTGGGCACTGTCCACAACAAGCTGCGTGTCGAGGGTGTCCAAGATTTTGCTCTGTCTAAGGGTCGCAATGCCAACATTGCCGTCTTTGTGCCAGAGCGCAAGGGCATGCCCGCCCAGGTCAAGGTCTTCAACGTCCCCCACTTCACCTCGCCCGTCTCGCAAAAGACCTTCTTCAAGGCCGACAAGGTCCAGCTTAAGTGGAACAACGAGGGCACCAGTTTGATTGTCCTGGCCCAGACCGATGTCGACAAGACCAACAAGAGCTACTACGGCGAGACCAACATGTACATTCTTAGCTCCAGCGGCGCCTTCGATTCGCGCATCACCCTGGACAAGGAGGGCCCAATCCACGACGTCTCCTGGTCGCCCAACTCCAAGGAATTCGGTGTCGTCTACGGCTACATGCCTGCGAAGACAACCATCTTCAACCAGCGTGCTGTCGCCCAGCACAGCTTCAACCTTGGTCCTCGTAACACCATTATTTTCTCTCCTCATGGTCGCTTCGTCATTGTCGCTGGTTTCGGCAACTTGGCTGGTACCATGGACATTTACGACATGGAGAAGAACTACCAAAAGGTCTCTACCATCGAGGCTAGCAACGCCAGTATCTGCGAGTGGTCTCCTGACGGTCAGCACATTCTGACCGCCACCACCAGCCCTCGTCTGCGTGTTGATAACGGTATTCGCATGTGGCACGTCTCGGGTTCATTCCTGTACAACGAGGAGATGAGCGAACTTTACCACGTCACATGGCGTCCCGACTCCACTGAGAAGCANCCCCTCGGTAACCCCCTTGCAAATGTTCCTGCTCCCCACGCGTCTGCTGCCGCCCACCTGGCCACTAAGAAGGCCCCATCCAAGCCCATGGGTGCTTACAGACCTCCTGGTGCTCGAGGATCATCCACTCCCTTGCACTTCAAGCGTGAGGACGAAGGTGGTGCTGCTTTCATCAATCAGGGTATTTCCTCCGCTAACATCGGTGCCAACGGTTTTGGATCTCGCCCTAGAAGACGCGAGGTTCCCGGTGCCGAAACTGCCGACCCCTCTGCTTCTGGTGCCGCTCCTGGCGGCGGTGTCAGTCTTGCTGGCGCCGACGGTGATGAGAACCTTAGCAAGGCTGCTCTCAAGAACAAGAAGAAGAGAGAGGCAAAGAAGGCCAAGGAGGCAGAGGCCAAGGCTTCTGGTCTTGCTCCTGAGGCTAACGGCGATGGCCAACAGCGCAGAGAACGCAGCAGATCAAAGTCTGGCCAACACGGTCCCGTGCGCGGCCAGTCCCACCGCGGTGATGCTCCTGCCACGCCAGCCAAGCAAGCACCAGCACCCGTCGCCGCCCCTGAAGTCACCGTCAGCAGCCCGGTCGTCGAGTCCAGCCAGGACAAGAAGGTCCGCGCTCTGCTGAAGAAGCTACGCGCCATTGACGACTTGAAGATGCGCCAAGCCGGTGGTGAGAAGTTGGAGAACACTCAAGTATCCAAGATCTCAACTGAAGAGGGTGTCCGTAAGGAGCTTTCTGCTCTTGGCTACAACGAGTAGATATGACACGGGGAGAAAGGGGGACGTTGTCTTATGCATAAAACTGGAAAGTCAAAAAGTTTAATATCAATGATGGAAATGCGAAAAAGGATTCTTCTTTCTTCAATGTTTATTTCTTTTTCTGTAGCTTCTTGTGCATGTGTGACATGTTGTGGAGCATATTTTCAAAGCAGAGGATGCAAATCAAGAAGAAGGAAATATCTTCTTCGTCACATCTACATGTCTTTTGTGTGATCTAGTCAAACATAGAGGTAACCCATGGCTTCCACCACTTCTCAACACCCTCAGGGTAGTTCCAACCCGTCCAGTTGTAGTTGCCCAGTGCCCAAGTATCACCCACACCCTGGCCACCACTCCTGATCCTATAGCTACCCGCCAAACTCCACATCGCCCACGAAACATTATTCTGCTGCGTAAAGTCCTTGAGACAGTTCATCAAGGTATCATTGAACAAACTCACATCCTGCGCAGCACCAAATTCCGAAATGATGACTGGCGTATTGCGCACAGCAGAAACACAGTTTTTGGTGACGTTGCAAGCAGGAGGGGGAGCCATGCCGATCGCATTAAAGCCGGCATTGTAGAGTTCGGCAAAGACGATGGGGCAGGAACCTGTGTCGAGGTCTTCGGACATGCTGTATAAATGCAGTTCGTAGACTACTTTGTTGGCCCAAGGGTGCGAGGCTAGATCGAAGATGATGGGGTCTCTGCGGAGGCCGTCGCGGATGGCGTCGCATTTGTAGCAGGGTGCTGTGTTGAGGTTTTTGCCTTGGATCAAGGCAGACAGATCTTGGTCGTATTGCATGCCTGACCAGGTGACCAGCAGATCTGGGTTTGCGGTGTGGATGGCATCGGTTGCTGCTGTGTAGTTGCCTACTAGAGTTACCCAGTTGTAGCCCAGCGAAGAAGTGGGGGCTGTTTCGTTGATTGCTCTGCGTAGCTCGTTGCGTAGAGACATGGAGACTACGTTGTTGTGTCTTGAAGCCCAGGTGGCTACGTATTGGAGTCCGCGCTTCCAGTTTGCGACGGGGAAGTTGTAGTCGTCGAACCAGGCGTTGCCGTCTGTGTTGTTGCAGCACCATTGGGCTTTGCCGACGTGTACATCAGGGTGAATGTAGATGTTCTTGGAAAGAGCGACTTGAGCGATGTGGTCCCAGATCTCGAAACGTGTGGTGTCTTTGGTGAAGGTTGGGTTCTTGGCGATGATCTCGTTGGTCACTTTGGTACTGTTTTGCCGTGTCAGAATACAACTTCTTCATGGAGGGTCTCAGGTCTTCTCTCACCCATTCTCGTAACCAAGACCATTGATCATAGCAATTTCGAGGCCCACATCTGAGCCATTGCGCTCGTAGATTTGATCGACCATCTCAATTGCATATGTGAAGCGGATAAAGTTGAAGCCTACACTCTCCACTTGGGATAGAATATCTTCAATCGATGCCCATTCGAGTCCTTCGGGCACCATGGTTTCACCACTACCAGGCCAATTGACACCAGCGAAGGTCACTGCCTCGCCCTTGGTGTTGACAATGTCGCGGCCCTGGGTGCTGAAAGGACCATAAGGCCATGATCCAGAAGAGTTCGTCACCTCCTGACGTCCATAGACAAATGAAGAAACATCTCTTTCCGGTAGCAGCGCGGCGGATGCCGTAGAGATACCAACGACGGCAGCAGCAAGCAATTGAGTAGACAGAAACATGGCTTGGCGATGTACTCTTCTATTTCTTCAACTCATCGTCCTGAGAGGGGTCCCAGCATACTTATACCCCAGGCATATTCGCCTGATCTCTCACGTCTACACACTCTCCAACCTCGTCGGTCAAATTCACTGCATTTTTCTATACCCCTCTTTGTATATTAGCCGAATGCGAATGATCTGCATCCTCCAATTGCTTGGCTGTGCATGTCCGCAGAGTGGTTGCGAGCAGGAAGGAGCAAGGTTTGGGAAAAACTTGGTGGCTGTGTTCTGCAAATGCTGTCATGGGGTTGTTGAAGCAAGGTTTGGATCTCGGCAAGAAATGACCCGTTAGATCGAGGGAGTTCACGTGGCGGTTGCAGATCTCGGCTGTGGAGAAAGAGATGCCTTCCGAATTGGGTTGTTCAGCTCATGGATATACCCCGAAAGCGTGATTGACAAGTTGTGTTCGTCTGGAGAACCGCGACATATCACAGATTGTCGTGGGTTGGGCCTCGCAATGAGCTGAAGATCTTATTGTTACGCGGGCTGATTATAAACATGAGCTCAGCAAATCATGTCTCAAGCTGGCGGAGACAACATTGGGTAGCTTTCGACTACAACTTCAAGTTGCAACAGCATACACACTGTAGTGACAACGATTACAGACCAGATCTGTGCGTGTACCACAGACTAATGGTGTCAAGGAACAAGATCAGGGTGATACTCCCAGCAATCCGACATGACACGAAGACACTGTCAAAACTATACACATATGGCGATAAAGAGAGGTAGCAATGATATCCACAGCTAGACAGCGATCCTTTGCCCCACACTGCTCAGAGGTAACTCATCGACCACCAAACCATCGAGACCCTGTCCTGCAACTTGTGGTGTTCTGACCAGTCTGTCTGCCATGCGATCAGGCACGAGTTCGGGAGTCACTGCTCTCATCTCAGGCGTCCTTGGAAGTCTGTCTGACATACAATCTGGTACCAGCTCAGGCGTGATGGATCGCTGAATTGGTGTGTTCACAGACAGTTTGGCGTTGAAAGGAGATGGCGAAGGTGGTAGTCTATCGGCCATTCTGTCGAGTGTTGGCTCAGGCGTTACGGGCCGTTGAGCACCTGCATTTGTATTGTGTACTGATAGAGTCTTGCTTATACTGCCGGAAGAGGTGGGAGAGGTTGGTGTCGAGCTCGAAGTGATCACGAACGGAGACGATGTCTTGGGTGAACGAGGACTGTCTAGCTTCTCGATGATGGAGTCCCGCTTCGAAGTGGTAATACTGATGTCAGGCAATGTTTGCGTGAAGCCCTGTGTTGAGGCGACTTGTTCGATAGACTTGAAGTNACTGTTTGTTCTGTTAGTATGATGTTGTTTCGAGGCTGAGAGCATACATACCTTCACAGTCTTGACTTGCAGCTCCAGTGTTGCATCGTCATCTGCGACAATCATTGCATGAGGATGCATCTGCAGGCTTGACAAGGTCCACATGTGGTTGACTCCGCCCTCGATACACTTTTGGAGAGCGAGTGCTTTGTGAGAACCAGTGATGATGATGACAACCTCTCTTGCATCCAACACTGTCTGCACACCCACAGTCAGTGCCATACGAGGTACCTGTGCAACATCGCCACCGAAGAACCTCGAGTTTGCGATGATGGTATCATAGGCAAGCGTCTTAACTCTGGTGCGAGACGCAAGACTAGATCCAGGCTCATTAAAGGCAATGTGGCCATCAGGACCAATGCCGCCCAGGAAGAGCTCAATACCACCTGCGCGCTTGATCTTTTCTTCGTAAGCAATACATTCAGCCTCTAAATCAGGCGCGTTGCCATTTAGGATATTGATGTTCGATGGCAGAATGTCGACATGTGAAAAAAAGTGGCGGTACATGAAGCTGTGGTATGATTCTGGGTGCTCACGAGGGAGACCAACATATTCGTNCCTGTAAGAGAGGCAAACGTCAGCTTCGGATTGGTGTGTATGAACTAAAGACAGCACTGTGTCGTAACTCACCATGTTGAAGGTCACTACATCACGAAAAGAGATATTGCCATTCTTGTGATGTCTGACCAGATTCTTGTACACGCCTTCGGGNNGGGAACTGCCTGTAGGAAGACCAAGCACGAATGGCTTGCTTGGAGTTGGACCAAAGGCCTTGATACGATCTATNNCAAAATCAGCATTTGTGCGATTGGCCAGCAAGAGCTCCGACGAACCAATGATATAGCTGGCGATAAATGCGGAAGCAGTATCCTTGTCGTCTCGGATGATGAGACGCCTAGCGAGGATCCATAAGCATGGCTGTACTGACGCAAGGCGAGAAAACTCACATCTTTTGTATCTTGAAGAATAATGATATGTCTTGATGAAGTTTGTTCCTAGGGGATGGGCTGATACGAGGGAAACACCACGGCGGACATGGAACTATATCGTACCAGAAGAAACTCCAGAAATGATCTCCAAGTACCTACATCATCGAGAAGATGTTCTCCATGAGCACACATGGCAAGCTAGATCGTTACTACTGGCCGATAGACTGTCACGGTTTCATCCATCTTGAGATCAAAGGCCGAAGAAGGTCACCTCGACGAGAATGCTACGCAAAGAAGGATGAGGTGCTTTGTCACGATGAGATAAGGTTCTCGAACATTATCGAAGGAGTTGAAATCTTCTATGCCGACACATCTGACGCTCCTCGTGGTGTGAGCGTGCCTATCGGAGTGTTACATGGAGAGCGACGATGCACAAGCTGTGGTTGCATCGCGAGCTCTTGTCCGTTCGGTTGATAACGGCGGGGCCAGCGCAAGGACGCCCTCGGCGTGGGGCCAAGTCGTGGCTAGAAATGGGGCGCGATAAGCTGTTTCGCTAGCAGCTGCGTGGAAAGTCAACCTTGCGGAGACCGTAGCCCGGGGCACGCGACGATATTGCATTGGTGTTATCTGCAGGCCGAGTGCTGACACGAGATCACTTCCTCTCCTTACTTATCTCTATTCACGCTCCTACTCACCTTACTGGAGCCAGCCACGCAGTGGTTGCACGAATTTGGGATAAAGTACCACATCTTCCCACCGCTCCTTCAGCTCGTCCAGTCGCGAGTGTTCCATCCGCTCGAGCTTTCTCCTAGGGTCCTTCCTCACAGGCTTGAAAAACCCAGCCCTTGCCGCCCCCGCATTTGACTGTCTTTTATTATACCACGTCCAGTCTCACACGACACTGAGACCTTCCCTTTTGCTTGTTTCTTGCTATCGCCAAGCCTGTTTTCTCCATGGCTCCAACCAACGAGAAGAACTTACACGAGGTCGAATCGGCCAGTGGATCAGTCGACAATGGCACCGCAGATGTTGTCATGCCTGTCGGCCGAAGGTACAGATCAGTCAAGATTGGTCCTGTGACACTACCTCACTACGCCAGCCCTGCCACACAACTTGTGATCGTCGCTTTCGTCTGTTTCTTGTGCCCTGGAATGTTCAATGCTTTGTCGGGCATGGGTGGAGGTGGTCAAGTCTCTGCTAAGGCAGCTGATGAGGCTAACGTTGCCCTCTATGCCTGCTTCTCAGTCGTTGGTGAGTGAACCATATTCGGGGTCTGCCGAGTCATGTCTGACAATGTACCANNAGGTTTCTTTGCCGGTAGTGTCGTCAACTACATCGGCATCAGATGGAGTCTATCCTTTGGTGGATTGGGTTACTGCGTTTACGTGGCTTCGTTCCTTTGCTACACCCACACCCAGAACACAGGCTTCAACATCTTTGCAGGTGCTCTGCTTGGTTGCTGTGCCGGTATGCTGTGGTCAGCTCAGGGTGCCATCATGATGTCTTACCCTCCTGAGAACTCCAAGGGAAGGTATATCTCTTGGTTCTGGATGATTTTCAACCTTGGTGCTGTCATAGGAAGTCTGGTAAGTCTGGTCCACTCCTCATTTCAACGACCGATGCTGATCGCTGCANNGATTCCTCTTGGTGAGAATATCAACTCCACTAGTAGTGGTACTGTCTCCGATGGGACTTATATCGGTTTCATCGTCTTGACAGCTTGTGGTGCTGGGCTGGCCTGGTTCCTGGTGGATGCAAAGTCGGTCATCCGCAATGACGGTTCTCGCATCATCCTCATGAAGAATCCCACTTGGAAGTCCGAGTTGCTGGGACTTTGGGAGACCATCAGAAGCGATCCCTACATCATCTGTCTTTTTCCAATGTTCTTCGCCTCAAACTGGTTTTATACCTATCAGGCAGGTCATCGTGTATTGAAGTTCTCGTTTGCCTCGGCTAACACTTTTTCNCAGTTCAACGGTGTCAACCTGGCGTACTTCAACACAAGAACCCGAGCTCTGAACAACACCCTCTACTGGACTGCGCAAATTGCTGGTGCATTCGTCTTTGGGTTCTGCCTCGACTACTCCAAAATCCGCCGAACGGTCAGAGCAAAGATCGCCTGGGTTGCCATCATGGTTTTGACACTCGCAATTTTCGGCGGCGGCTATGACTTCCAGACTGGCTACACTCGCGCTTCCGTTTCCAAGGATGCGGGTTACGTCTCCAAGGACTGGAGTGACTCTGGATATGTCGGCCCGATGTTCCTGTACATCTTCTACGGCTTCTATGATGCCGCATGGCAGACTNNTTGTGTATACTGGTTCATGGGCTCGTTGACCAATAACGGTCGCAAGCTCACCAACTTTGCTGGTTTCTACAAGGGCATCCAGTCTGCTGGAGCCGTCGTGATCTGGCGTCTTGACTCGCAGAGTCTACCTTACATGAGTGAATTCGCCTCAAGTTGGGCACTCCTGTTGGGCGCGCTGGTGTGTGCTTTGCCAGTCCTGCTCATCAGAATCAAGGACCACGTCAGTGTTGAAGAAGACGTAAAATTCTCGGACGAGACTGTCGAGGAGATCATCGGCACAGCCGATGCCAAAGTTGTCAATCGCGACTCTGAGAAGGTCTGATGAAGAACAGGTCATATGGACAACGATCCAGGTTGCACCCTGCATCTCGACTGAATCGTCGGTATTGGTTTCCTCGTATGGCGTACCTACTACTTTGTAATGATCATGCAATTTTATGAGCCTTGTTGTATAATGTTTCTCTCCAGTGCAACATGAAATACTTGACAAAGTGGTCGATTGAACGTGATGAATGTGCTTTTCGTGACAGTATAGAGTCTGACCGGTATGACGCGTATAAGGATTCTTCTGGGCATGAGAAGGGTGAAAGAAGGCGCGGCTCTGCCTGGATAGGAAGGATAAAAAGCATGGGCTGGCAAGCGATCACGGACCCCAAGTTGCTGCCGATCCCGGTGCCGATGTAACATCAAGAAGTTCACGCTGAGCACGCGAAGAGTGGAAATGATAGACGAAGCGGCAGTCAAGGGCAAGCTGGAGATTGTAACAGGCTGGAATGGTCTTGTAGCTNNAGGAGTGCGACCAGACCCTATCAGGATACACAAAGCGAGCAGGCGTATCGCTGGTGTTGTGTGTTGGGGAATAGCTTGTTCTGTAGACTCAGGCTGGATGGGACGGTGAAGCGTCAGAGAAACCCCCGCCGTGTTGATCCACTTGTCNGGATTTGCTGCAACCAAACATGCTGCAACTGCAACTGCAACTCGACTGACCATGCCCCATGCCGTGCTGGACGCGAGCCAACACGTCTGGCAGCTTTCGTATTGCTTCCGTTTCTACTGATCCCTGCGCTTTCCGAAACGCCTGCCGTCGGCCGTCTTTACCCTTACAGCTGTGATACATAACNNTGAATCCGACATCTGAGAAGTGACTGGTCAACAGGTCAACAAGCACTCTTCCACCAGCCGAGCGTCTATCACCACGTCTGGACGACTNTCGATAAGCCGCTATCACCGTCATTCACTACTCGTCGAAGCCTACAGAAGCGTCACCCGCCTGTCTGACTGCCATGCTAGCCTCGTTGATCCAACCCTTACAACTACCGTCGCCCAACAAAGATGCCTTTGGCCTAGATACACAGAGCTCGCGCACAAGGAGCATGGACAAACTCTTGCATGACGTCGAGAGTCTCTTCGAGGCACCTCTGCGTCCAAGGAGCCTGCATGCCATGTCAGAACAACTCCAGACCGAGTTTCGCACAAAACTGCAATCGTCAAATATATGCATGTTGCCGTCCTTTCACTACGCCTTACCCACCGGTTCCGAATCCGGTGACTTTGTCGCACTTGATGTTGGCGGCTCAACCTTTCGCATCGCCCTCGTGCATCTTAGTGGAAAAGACACAGCAAAAGATGGAATGCACATTAAGAAAATGAAGTGCTTTGTCATAGACGAGACTATACGGGACTTGAAAGGCAAAGTCTTCTTCGACTGGATGGCCGCCAGGATAGAGGAAGTGCTTGGCTCAGACAAAAATGCTGCTGTTCCCTTGTCTATGGCAATGTCATGGTCGTTTCCCATCGAGCAAACCTCGACGCGCACTGGTTCCCTCTTGACTATGGGCAAAGGTTTCTGCGCTACCCACGGGGTTGAAGGCCAGGATCTTTATGAGCTTCTCATGGACTCCTGCAGACGGCGCAACCTTCAAGTCCAACTCCAAGCAATTATCAACGACTCTTCAGCAACATTACTTTCACAAGCCTATCGAGACCCCTCGACTCGGCTATCACTCATCTTGGGCACTGGTATGAACTCGGCCATCTACCTGCCCGTTTCCGCACTCGCCCAAGAGAAATATGGCCATCGTTCGGAGAGCTGGTATGCGTCTGCCAAAGACGTGCTTGTTAACACCGAGCTCAGTATGTTTGGAAAGGATGTGCTTCCAGCTTCAAGATGGGACCAGTATCTCAACGCCACCCACGATCTCCCAGACTTTCAACCCTTGGAATACAGGGTTAGTGGAAGATACCTAGGCGAGTTGGTGCGCCTCATTCTTATCGAAGCCATCGAGACTGCTGATTTGTTCAACGGTATGATGCCTGCTAAGCTCCAGGAGCCATACTCCTTGGACACTGGGACAATTGCTGTCTTCGAGAGTGATCCGTCATCCACTCTATGCAGCGCCGCGAAAGCTTTCACATCTACACATCCATTGCCTGCAGGTCGCATGCCATCGTGTAGAGATGTTCAATTTGTCAAGCAAGTCAGCCGACTTGTGTCTGGTCGTGCAGCTGCTTTAGTCGCGACAGCCGTACACGCTCTCTGGTCGCTTCAACGCACTCTCTTGGCATCGTCAGACACTGCTGAAACCCAGCTCGCACACCATCCCCGAGCGCGAACAACAGTAGCATGCAACGGCACCGTCATGGAGAAGTATCCAGGCTTCCGCTCTAGATGCCAAGACTACCTTGATGAGCTGGCTGCCATTAGTGGCCAGAGTCGTGGGGCCATCTCTATTGAGATGGCATTGGAGAGTTCGGTGTTTGGCGCAGCTGTTGCCGCTGCATCAGAATCCGAGGCATAGTACGAGAATGTTTGTTTGAGCAAATTGCATTTTGTATTTTCTGGAGGCGTTGTGGACATAAGGAGCATTTGGTGCATATCACATGCAGGTAGAGGGTTTCACATTTAGCCGAGCGGTATCCTGACATTAGCGACGTTGCAATTACAGAGTCTTACAATACTAATACACATCCATAGAAGATTCTATCAGCGTATAGTCCCAGCAGGATTCAAACAGGGCAAGAATCGCTACCTCTGGGACATTATCCGAACATTACCGTGATCGCTTGATGAAAACCAGATCGAACCATTGAACGAGTCGATCAAACGATGCAGGCATCTTGAGATGCGTTGTAGATACCACTGCGAGTCGAGTATCCCAATAATGCAACGAGTTGTTGGAGAGCGATAAGATAAGCCACTCGGGAAGGGTTTCGGAACGTCCAAACTGGGAGGGGAAGAGCGACCTCCGACCTCCGCATATTCATGGTCGCATCCGTTCTCCCCTCCAACCATGTTTCCATAATAACACGCTTGGATATGGCACGAGTCTTGCAACTGTCTGAGGTCGCAAGTGACTATCGCCATATTTCGGAAAGGTCGAGTGACACACGCTGAAGCTTGGTCTGGTCAGTGAGCAGGAAGCAGGCACGGCAGGCCGTCCGACGTATCACACGAATCGAGCAAACCGCGACTTCCTGGATCAACCTGTCCTCGTTCTGGACATTGCCAAAACTGGACTTGGTGCCCTGTCGCAGTATTTGATAGGCTCTTTAGTATATCACGCAATTCCCAGTCATATACCCTGTCTCGACGAGCACTCTCGCATGCTTCGACAGCCATACCTCTCTCGCGACGACAGGATACCCAGACGCAATCATGGAGGGTTTCGACCCGATATCCATGACCTACATGGCTACCAACTTCGAGGCTGTCGATGACACTGTCCCTGTGCCCAACATGTACAACAACATGATGATGATGCCAAACGACTTTATGGAACAATACTCGACCTACGATTCGCAGACCGTCTATCCAGGGTACTTGCAACCAAGACGCCCCTCCCTACTGCGATAAAGTTTGCTGATGACCGCTCCAACAGANGACGAATACTACCAACTACCGCCTCCACAGACTACGCCGACCCTCAAGCGATTCTCTAGCACTTTCGATGATGCCTTCTCTGATGCCGTGGGAGCCTTTGAAACCATTGCCGAGACAGGAACCCAAGATGCCCATGACACACAAGACGCGAAAGAGATTGCCATAGAACAAGGCCACAAGTACTTGAAGTTCACTCCGCCCCAGTACGACTACGCTCTGCTCGACTACAACTTCCATCAGGTATCAGTGAGCTTGACTGCTGATCTATTGGGCCTTTTCTTTACCGAAAAGTCGGCCTGGGTGAAGCCAGCAGAGAACACCGAGTTGATGTGCTACCGTCGCAACATCTTCCAGGTCTCCGGCAGTGTCGTGGTTCCGCGAGCACTGCGCAATATCGTCACTGAGCAGACGGAACAGATAGCCATCGTCTCTCAAGAACTCATCATCTCAGCCACAGAGTCCGCCGAGGGGAGTCCCACTAAGATCATTTGTGTTCCTTGGAAGACTCCACCCAACGCAAACTCTACTGTAGACGAGAGGGCCGAGAAAGAACCACAGTCAATACCGCTAGATCTCTCCACTGCCCCGGAGGGAGACTCCAACTTCGCCACATTTCCGTTCCACTGGAAGCGCTTGCAGTTCCGTAGCGCAACAGCAAACAACGGCAGAAGGAAAGAGCTACAACAGCATTTTATCGTTCATCTCAAGGTCGTGGCTACGCTGGCGACGGGAGGGAAAGTGACCATCTGTCATGCCAAATCAAATCCTATCGTTGTTAGAGGTCGGAGCCCTAGGAACTTCCAGTCCAGGAAAGACATCCTGCTCACTGGAAATGGCACGCACGCGAAGAAGCCGACAACAGCGGCCCCGAAACCGCGTGCACCATCACAAGCAGATACCGGCCATGCTCGAAAGCCGTCTCGTAACAGCGTGATCGCGGCCCCTAAGAATGAGACTCCCGCAATCACGGCTTTTGACAACACGGACTTCCAGATGCCCGCGTTTTATACCAATACATTCCAACAAGGCGCAATGACTGCGATACCGCCGACTGCACGCCTTTCTGAACCCAAAGACTACCCTGTGTCATCTCCTGATCTAGTGCGTCAGCCCTCAAACATGCCTGCACCAGCTCGAGTACCGCTGAAGCTTTCCTTGACGGACGAGGAAGAACCCAAACAATCTTCTATGAGCCCTCCTAAGAACGGTAACGCAAGCAAGCGGGTAGTCACAGGTCGCGCCGTAAGCACACCCTCTGCCTTAGCTCTGCAAGTAGGCAGCAGTCCAGACGAAAGTGCAGACTTGCTGTACGAGTACTTTCCACTTAGTCTGGATGACTGGCAGCCTCCTGTCGATGCCGTGTACCGTCCGCACGTCGTGCACCATATCAACCCATTGCCGGAGAATAAGGCTCGCGACCGCTTGAGTCGCCTCAAGAACAAACGCTATTTCAGCGAAGACGTGGGATGAAGAAGCGATACTCCTCATCATACTCACCAATCTATGTGTGCACTTCCATCGAAAGGATCCTTAGCACCCCATCACAGCCATCAAATACCAATGTCACTTCCAAGTATCGTGAGGATATGGCTCACACTTGGCATGGTCTTGTTGTTCGAAATGATCTCGTCAATCTTGGTTCGATCAACCGAACATCCACCAAAGTCGGTCCGCTTGTATGGCGGTGGCGCTCTTCCTGACGGTTTGGCATCGAAGCATCTAGAGCCATCGAAACCAAGATTAACGACTTCTCATGTCTCCGAGAGCGCATACTTGAGAAACGACCAGACGTATTTAGACCATGCTACCGCAATAATAGGTCCGCAAAACACCTTCGTCACATACCATCCCATACAGGATGTTGCAGACATCGTGCGCTGTAAGCACTGCAAACGCTCGGTACTGAGTTGCAAAGGCCAGATTGTCCTTCCAGCACTGCATGCAGGGGCACTAGAATGCGACAACGGCGTCCGTGATCTGAACTAAAAAGACTTTTATTTTCCAAGATCTGCTTACCAGCATTGATGGTGTTGCATCAATGCAAGGTACGAATAGTGATGTGGACATTTACAATGGAATCGATACATTTACGATCCAGCTTTACCCAACGAGCCAGATCACTGAGCCTTATTACTCTCTTTCAACTGTCGACCTGCACAAAATTCGCCGTCGTGACTTGTTTCAACTTTGTGTTCGCAATCCCGCCGTTGCCCTTGAGCGTCATTGGGCATGCGAAATGTGCGTCGACCAGAGCGTCGTACTCGGACCCATTCTTTATTCTGTACTCTCTCATGGGTTTGCGGATGGAACAGAACTTGTACGAGCATTTGTTTTCACATCAGAGATTGCGGCTGGGGAGAGCTGCCGAGATCAACAGCTCTCAGTGGAGACAACCCTATTTTCAGACAATATCGTGCATTCCTATAGCTATATTCAGATAGTCGTTCCCAGACAGAAGGTGCAAAGATAACAGCATACCTATCCTTATTTCCTAGAGATAGTCGCTGCATCGCAACTAACCTCCTCAAACGTATGCATAGTAGTAAATCCCATGGTCGAAAGTCCATCGAAATTGCCATCTCCGTCCATGTAATCCAGCACGCAAGATGCGCATCCTTGTTTCTTGACTTGCTTGACGCCCAACAGGATCAAGCTTTGCAAGATGGTGGCGTACTCGCCCGCTGAAGGTGATATGACAGGAGAACTAACGCCACCACTGACAGTCACATCGCTTTCGGAACCTTCGTCTTTCAGTGCAGGGATAAATTCGGCGAGAGAAGACGTAGCAGTGTAGAGTATCAGTGTGCCCACTATGCTGCCGTCTTCTGGGCGTATAGCACGGACAATACCGCAAGAATTCGGGTCTGAGAGGGCGAGTTTGTAGACTTCTGCCAACCCTTGACGGTTGTTTGTTTTTATGTGATCGAAGATCGCGCGTGAGTGCTCCCACCCTCTGACCAAGTCGAACTCTGCGCCTGCGCCTTGCAAAGACTGTGCCATTCCCTCTGGCGGAGACCAGGACTGTAAATTTCGCATTACCATACTGCAGACGGGACGAGAGAGCGCTGTGTTCCAGCCCACGTTTGCGAACCAGGAGCGTAAGCGTTTGCGCTCGGAGCTGTGGTCAGAAGGAATGCCGAGGTATATGCTCGGAAGCCTAGAGCCTAGCTGGAAGCGCTTGATGCCTTCTCTTTGTAGTAGAGTGCGAACAGCACGATCGTGCAGGCTTTGTCCAATTGAAAGTTTGCGTCTGCCAGGGTCGACGAAGAGGGCGCCGATTGCTCCAGTACCGGTGGACTTGAAGAAGTAGGTGGAGCAGAATCCATACAGAGCGGAGGTACTGCTGTTGCGAACGACAAAATGCGTCTCTAGAACGTTCTGTTGACGAAGGAGGAATGAATTTGAAGTTGCTCCTCTGAGTTCTGATCGTTGGTTTGGTGCCGACCATTCGATAATTTCTTTGATCAGAGTATCCAAAGCCAGTGCGTCTCGTTCCTCATTAAATGTTTCGACTAGCCAGTGCGTCTTCGACTGAGTAAGCTTTTCGCTGCGGCTAATCGTACCAGGCAACGAGCCTGTAGGTGTTATATCTCCGTGCAACACCTTGACCAATGACACCAGTGCGGTCTCGGTGAAATCATACGTGCAGACATATGTCCCGATCGACGTGTCTGTGGAAAAGTCGTAGGGCGAGCTGACTGCCACAACGATCAGAGGCTTGGTCTTTTTCTCGCCGCCAGCCGTATACTGCATGTTGCAGATCATCGAAACGTGTTTCGTAAATCCATTTTGGTACATATTTCTGTTGGCATCTGCTGTTACGACAATGACTGCACTCGCTCGGTTGATCAGACTTTCATGCTGAGGGCGAACGCCGTTGGCTGTGTAGCTGGTATGAAGTACTCTGCCGGTCCGTTGACGAGCTAAAGATCTGCCGAGCTCTCGGAACACTCTCTCACCACTCAGACCCGGATTGCCTCGCTCCCATTGAGGCTCCGGTGAGTCAAGAGAAAGGTGTGTTGATAGCTCTCGCGAAGCTGCAGATGCAGCGAGGGGCTTCACCAGTGGCGTCAGGAGTAGCAGCTCTTCTTCCGGCTCGATAATGTTGGTCAGAGGTAGAAACCCATTCTGGTCTCTCACGACTGTGATACTCGAGTTGTAGGCCTTGGTTGAAAGACTTGTATGTGATGGTTGAAGTCTCAACAAGAGGTTGATGCCTGGAGGATTCAAGGCCTTCTCCCAGGACGTGCATCTTGACTTCATTGCCAGTACTCTGTTGAGAGACCGACGAACTCTATCCGTAGTGATCATGGAATTTTCCAGACCAAGCTTGAAGCCGCTGATGGCCTCCAATTGGTGTTGATACGACCTGCATAGTAAGAGGATATCACAGCCAGCATTAGCGGCCATGACAGTTCCACCATTGACGCCGATATTTTGACACAGCGAGTCCATCTCGAGACACTCACTGACCACAACACCATCAAAGCCAAGCTCTTTTCTCAACAGCCCATCAACAACTCGATCTGAAAGACAAGCGTGCATGACGTTCAGTCCAGCTGATGACATTGCACAACCTCCAACCATGATAGAGTCGAGTCCTTGTTTGATGGCATCCCGAAAAGGTATCAGAGCACTCAGACTCAGCTGTTCCAGGGACTCCGTAATTGTTGGCACATCCAAGGAAGATCCTAAGAATTCGAGGTTGCCATATGATGGAAAGTGCTTGCCCATGGTACAGATACCAGCCTCTTGGTAGCCTTTCATGAACGCCACTCCATACTCTGAGCATTGCACCGGATCGTCACCAGTTGTGCGAACTCCAAGTGGCTGGTTTCGGGTGTTGGTCAAAACATCCAAGCAAGGTCCCATGATCCAATTCACCCCACATGCAGAGATCTCTTCTGCACTGGCCTTTGCAACTTTGTAAGCAAGATCGGGGTCTCCTGAAGCGGCGATACCCATGGCTGATGGATATTGCCTGATAAATATATCGTCGAAAAGAGAGTTGACTCCGCCATTTTCTTGGTCGATGCCTATTAGTAGAGGCACTGGGTGGCCAGCGTCGAAGGCACATTTTTGCAGTTCGTAAACAAGAGCGCTCGTATCTTCAGCAGCTGGAAATGGCGTCAGTACATCGAACAGTAGATGTAAAGGTCAAATAATGGTGGTCTCATCAACCTCACAGCGATATTGATGCAATATGGCAAAGAGACACGACTGAAAAAGAGATTGGCCAGATGCTGGCCGCCACTTCCTCATACGTCGTCAATGTCATCGCAGCCCTGATCAGAGTATGTACATACGGGAGTGACTGCCCGAAACACGCTCAAAAAGGAAACACCTTACTCACACTTNTAAATTCTTGGCTGTTAGAAGGATCGACCCCAGATGATGTTCTTGTATAAGAGTACGTATCTGAGGAGTCACTGCGGTCCCATCGAAGCCNNCTACACACAACTGTCAAGCACTGGTCAAGGATATATCGACAATTAGCCTTACCATCATAAACAATTGGCCCAGAGCCCTGGTAGGAACGCCATGATTAGCAGACTGCACTTGGTGCATGGTCGCATGCTCCTCCACACGACTATGACAATTTACCTGTCCATATTCTCCCAGAGCCCACTCGAACTAGTGTCGGAAGTCCCCATGATTGGTATCTTCTACGATGACATGCGTTTACGCGCCGAGAAGCTTCAACCGAAGCCGTAAGGCTTGCCGAATGGATTCGAGATACGGTAGCGGTCGCTAGATGACGACTTGACGGTGCAGCGTGGCATCCGACAGCAAGCAGTTCATGCTGTGGAGTGGTAACGAAACGTGCTCTCGTAATGATAAGCAATAGCTGGGGTGAATGTAACCTCGTGCTTGCCCTTCTCCACACCGGCCAAAGTGACAAGCGACGGAGAGTCCGTGCTTGCCGAGGCGCTTCTATACGCCAACCGCAACGACGTCTCGTCGTGCATCATGCCTCCTTCTTGTCAGATACCACATCATGCAGCAACCAGACAAGATCGGCTTTATCTTGAAGAAGTCAGGAGCTGGTTTGGTTGATTGCAAATGCTTGGTAGCCCCACGTGCACCGATTGGCTATCTTACTCGAAGACAACATCAAGCTTCGATCGCAACTTTCAAATGTTACATTATGCTGTGTTGCCTTATCAAGAAGATTGTCTCTGATCAATGGACTATCGAGGTTACAGCAACTAGCCAACCAGTTTGACAAGAAGGCATGTGGATCAAGGTACCTGCAGCTTCGTCGCGGGAGTTCTAAGATCTGAATGTGTCCTCTTAATATGTATCGTTGGTAGGTCGCCGACCTCGCTGTTGTTATCGTCACTTCTCTCTGCTCAGGTCATAACCTTCTTACATATCGCGATCCGTTTTGCGAAACCAACATAGTTGGTTTCTCGTAAACGCTCGCCTGCAAGCTTGACACACATACAGCTGTTGTATACTCCTCGTCGCATATTCTGTCTGTACAGAGCTTCCATATCAGCATGCCAGCAGCTGTCTCGCCAGAGAGGCCCCGAAGTGGTATCACTCGATTGACTGGATGCCAACTAGTCAAAGGCGATGTTCTGGTAGAAGAAGACCTATGGCTTTCCTCAGTCACGGGTCGTATCTTACGCAGCCAAGAAGTCTTTTACGAGCATCAAGCGGCTCCGGACGAGGTCATTGACCTCGGTGGCCGCATCGTCTGTCCCGGCTTGATTGACGTACAATTTAATGGCGCATTTGGCTTCGACTTTTCGCAAACACCACAGGATCCTATCTCGCATCGTAAGGGTCTGAAAGAGCTGAATAAACGATTGATTGAAACGGGTCTCACATCATACCTGCCCACTATTACCAGTCAGAAGCCAGAACTCTACCACAAGGCATTGCCGTACCTGGGCCCTTCTGGTGCAGCTCGCGATGCAGATGAAGGTGCAGAGTCGCTAGGCGCCCATGTCGAAGGCCCTTTCCTCAGTCCAACCAAGAACGGCATCCACAGTCCCGAAGTCCTGCAATCAGCCACATCTTTTGCAGATCTCGAAGCCTGCTACGGAGCTCACAACCTCTGCAACATCAAGAAATTGACCGCCGCACCCGAAGTTGGCAACATGACCTCGATCATCCCGGAGGTTGTGAAGAACAACATCATCTTCAGCATCGGACACACAGAAGCTACCTACGAAGAAGCATCTGCAGCCGTGACTGCGGGAGCAAGAATGATCACTCATCTATTCAATGCCATGAAGCCACTACACCACAGAAACCCTGGTGTATTTGGTATCCTAGGCCATCCTTCCACTCATACACCTTTCTTCGGTGTCATTGCCGATGGCATACATCTACACCCTACCACCGTCAAGATAGCATATGCCGCGCACCCTGAAGGCATGATCTTAGTCACGGATGCTCTGTTCCTCGCGGGCCTCCCAGATGGTACATACAAGTGGACCAACGGCGATAGCATCGTCAAGAAAGGCTCGAATCTCACGCTCGACGGCACAGACAAGATAGCCGGCGGCTGTGCGAAGTTACTGGACTGTGTAAACAACTTTCTCAATTGGTCGAATGCGAGTATTCCTGAAGCCATTAGGGCTGTCACTATTACACCAGCCAAGATGTTGGGACTAGAGGGTGTGAAGGGGTGTCTGGAGGCCGATGCTGATGCAGATCTCTTAGTCTTGTCTGAAGAGGTTGATGGGGAGGAAAGACGTTTACTGGTGGATCAAGTGTGGAAGTTTGGTAGGATGGTTCATGAAAGGTCCTGATGGCGTCTGTTCCCGCTTTCTCTTTGTCCAGGCGACTCTGGTATCCTCTTAATCCACAGCATGCGTCTCAACAACCAGCCTTCATGCTCAAAAGTCAAAGTCCATCAGTGTTCTTATCAGCTTTGTCCTCAAACACCACCCCCACACTTGCACCCTTGGCCTCTCTATCCACTTTCTTCTGAATCCAAGCCTGCTCCGCAGTCTTTCTCTTGCAAAGCACACACTCACACTCCAACCCATCCGGCTTTGTCAGATGCTCCTCCCTCAACTCCAACCAATCCACAAGATGCAATCTCATGATCCCGACCGCATGTTTCAGGAACTGGGGTGCCGAGTCAAAGGATCCGATACCAGAGAAATGGCCGTGGATCTCGTAGTCTTGGCGGTTGGTGTCGCGGATCTTTTTGGTGACGGTGTAGCCGGTGGGGAGGGCTGTGAATTCGACTTGAGCGCCTGTGAGNNGAATGGGTTAGTAGGGGTTGCGATGGAGGCACGGATGGAGGTGGGTCTGCGAACCGTGGTAGGTCTGGTTGAAATCTTCCTTTAGACGAGAGTCGATGGAGAGTTGTTTGTTGAAGGCCCTGCTGAGTGATTTGAGAAAGTTGTCGGGCTCTGGGAAGATGTAATCGTCGCCGGTGGGTTTGTAGCCGGTGCCAGTGTGTCCGTAGGAGCTAAGGTCGATTTGGACAACTTTTTCAGCATCTTCAGAGGGCTTTGGTGAGCTCATGATTGATGTTGTGGATGGTTGCAAGAGAAGTCAGATGATAGAAGAGGTTATTTATGCCCGAGCTGCAGAAAGAGCTGGAAGGTCAATGAATCCTTCCGTATCCAGTCAGGCAGCAAACAGATACCAAAACACCGTGAGAGCACATTGATCCAGTCTAATTTTCTTTCGTGAAAGAACTCAAACGTCTTCATCGCGTTGTTTGCTGCTGACGCGGTTAGAGACATGGTCAAAGATAAGTCGCGTAAAGGGAACCAAATCTTACCTCCTCTTGCAGTCAATGCTGGCCTGACATCTGTCTATAGCAATGCAGAATGCTTTGTTCACTGGAGTTTTAGCCGCTGAAAGTGTTCGCCGATCATTGGCTCAAATGACTTCCCCTAGTATCGGCAATCAGACAATGCAATATCGTGGACACCGACAGGAACGTGATATACAGACATAAGGACACAAGAGAAAGGGGTCCACCTGGAATCAGGATAGATAAACCCACCTGTCGTTCGACCGTGTGCCCGGGCTCGTACCTCCTTGTTCACAACTTCATAGGCAAATCACACTAGAGAAGGGTTTCAGTGTTGGAGAGTCTCAGGACTGTATTGGTACGAGCAATAAAATCTATCAAAGACTATCCTGCGCAATCCCACCACCACCCCTCCCCAGGTCTCCGACTACTAGCCCCTTGATCAGTGCTAGCAGAGCTCGCACCAGCAGTGGTCACTAAAGACCAGCATGGCAACGACGTGCGGCAAGAACTTTTCTGCAGAGTTGTAGTAGCGGCCGGAAGGGTGGCCGTAGATGCGAATGTCGCGGCGGCCCATCGGATCCCTTCTAACGTGGGCGTAACCCACAGGCATCTGACCGGTAAACTTGTACTGGTCGTTGCCTAGAGACGCAATCGNTTAGTTGACGGCATGCACAGTGTTAAAGGGGAGATGCAATTGCTTACCGAACATTGCTCTCATGGCGTCGCCATGGGCACCGGGCTTACGAAGCTTTCGCTCCAGAGCAGAGGTGAGGGCAGGGAGGAACCCACCGGCAGCCTCGATCCTCTCGTTGGCCTCGGTGGGCACAACACCGGTGCCATCGCTTGGATAGATGGGCGCGGAAAGGTCGATGTCGATAGGATCCATTTCGTTTGCAGCTGCCGTCGATAGACCTGATCCGTGCGCGAAGCGAGATGAACACGTGACCGTGAGAGCTCTGAGGCAGTTCGTGGCGAGACATATCAAGGCGAAGAATTCAGGGTCCAACACATGTGAGCGACATGTGAGGACAAAGTAGAGGCACAGTAAGCCACAACTGAAGCTGCACATGTGACTCACGCTCGTGGGCAAGAGCAAGGGCTAGTGCTCTCAATGGAAAGTGTCCTCTTGTGAATTACCTTGTGTGATTTCTCAGAGCCACCTGCTGCCATCTTCTGCCTCGAGATTCCGGCAATGATCATAGTGGATGTTGAAACGAGCATAGTGATAGTACCAGCTCTCGTCCGACACCCTGATTATGCGTTCAGGTTCACGTAGACCGACAACACACCAGAGGCGGCTCCGAGAAGACATACGGGGCAGAATTCAGGGGTATGTCTTGTGTCCGCGAGTAGGTAGACCTTGGAAGGCAGTATGATGATGCTTCATGCCAATATGATCTTCTTCGCAGCCAGATTCGTGCGTTCCGATGAAACGGATTTCTGATAGACCATCATCGAGGTGGAGAAATTAAAGCGTGCAATGCGATAGCTGGAAGTTGTAGTAGGAGAGGTCGGTCAGATGAGCATGAAGCCAGGACCAGGCTGGATTCAGAAAGTCATGTCGACATCTGCATTGCTCTCAGAATCAGAGTCACCGTCGCTTCCGTCGGCATTATCTCCATCCTTCCCAGCAGCCTTTTTGGCCTTGTCTCGTGCTCTCTTCTTGAACTTCTTTTCCCTGTTTCTCCTCGCCTTCTTCTCGCGCTCGAGCCTTTCCTTCTCCTCTTTCGATTTGCTGTCTTCCTCCTTTTTGGCTTTCTGGGCAGCCAACTTCTGTCTCTTCTTGATTCTGTCTTTCTTTCCGAGGCGGGTGCGCTTTTTGGTACATCTGGTAGGAAAGCTTCGGCTAGGGGTTCTGAGCTGCCGCTGCTGCGAGGGCTGCCTTGGCCTGTGATGATTGGATGGCGACGACTCTCCAGGGGTATGCGCAACCAGTGCATGGTAGCTTAGACATGGCCAGCACGTCTGCGCCAGTCACGGCCGCGACCTCATATTCCTTGGCACGTGTGGGATCGAGCTCTCCAGTATGATAGTAGCTCAAGGGGCGTCCTGCACCAATGATTCCTGGTTCTCTGGCTTCTTCTGAGGGCGATCGAATGCGAATCTTCTGTGCGACTGGGGCGGGAGCAGAGGCATCAGTCGTAGATTTGATGGGAGCAAACAGCTGGAATTCGAGTTCTTCATCTTCGTCTTCTTGGTTTTCTGTTGTGTCTACGGGCTGGGGTGTGTTGTCGACTAGTTCGAACTGCAGGTTTGCGCCTAGCCGTTCCAGCGTATCCAGATCTGGGGAGGAGGCTCGAGATGATTGTGGTGAGGCATTAAGGTCTGACCTCGACACTCTGCGGCACGATGGTCAGTATCGGTAATCTACTGAGAGGTTTTGCAACGAGCATACTGAGCACCAGCTATCGTCGCCATTCTTGAGTCGTTCAGGTTGTGCTTTGTACGATGGTTATCAGAATTTGGACGGAAGCCGGGATGCGGCTCTGCTGAGGAAGGAACACCCCACAAAGATCAGGCCAAGAGATAAGATGACACGCCTAGAATTCACATGCGACCAGGTCATGTCAACAATCTAGACGGCCGACTTTCTTCTTTTCATGTTCGGTCGCTCCTTCCTCGCCAGAACCACCCAGTCCTTGTCGCGAACCTACTCAACCGCCAGAATGTCCACCGGTCCGTCTACGCCACCATCAATTCAGAGTCTCGGCCATTGGTTGACATGAATCACATTCTCCAGAACACACCAACCGTCCCATCGTCATCTCCGGGCCCTCTGGCTCTGGCAAATCGACCCATTTGAACCGTCTGCTCAAGGAGTACCCCGACCGCTTCGGTTTCTCAATCTCTCGTACGAACATGTCAACATCACCTCCTTGATCAACTTTGGAGACTGATTCTATGCCTACAAGANNCACTACCCGCCAACCCAGGGGTCAGGAGCAGAACGGCGTCGAGTACCACTTTGTCACGAAAGAAGACTTCTTGAAGTTAGTCGACCAGAACGGCTTCATCGAGCACGCCCAGTTCGGTAGCAACTACTACGGCACCAGCGTCCAGGCTGTCAAGGATGTCGCTCAGAAGGATCGCACCTGCATCCTAGACATTGAGATGGAGGTACGCATCAATTCCCCACTCCTGTCCTTTCTGGAATCGTCATTGACCTCGATCATCACANNGGGTGTCAAGCAAGTAAAGAAGAAGGACCTCAACGCCCGCTATCTCTCCCTGCAACCGCCATCCCTCGAGATCCTCGAGTCACGCCTGCGCGGTCGCGCCACCGATTCCGAAGACGCCATCACTCAGCGTCTCGCCCAAGCCAAGAACGAGCTCGAGTTCGCAAAGACACCCGGTGTTTTCGACAAGGTCATCATCAACGACGACCTCGAGAAGGCATGGACAGAGTTCAAAGCTTTCTGTGTGTCAGAAGAGTAGAAAGAGATGATTTAGAATATATACCAAACATGCTACAGTGCAACAATTTTAATACAAGATACAAACGCTTTCAATTTCATCCGTGTAGACATTCAATACATGCAATACATTCGCTACTAACTTCAAACGCTCATGGACGTCATGTCCGTCCTTACTATCCTCAACCCCCATCTTCTCGACCACATCATCACAGCGCAAGCACACCCGATAAAACGAACAAGAATCTGGGGAATCTCCAATACAAGAAGATGTTGAAGAGTAATCGTTTTTAACTCTACCGGCAATGTAGTGATTTCTTATATACTCATGCAAAAAAGAAAGAAAAAAACTCCCTTGCTTGTGATATTCCAAAGCTCATCCCCTTGCTCATACGACAGATTCCATTTTGATACCTCTCCTAGGTAATTGAACGATGGAAATAGTTTAAGTTATAGAAGTGTAGGATATCTTGTCGAAAATGGAGTAATGTCCACAGAGAGAGACTGTGTTGATGGGTCTCCGTGGACACTGCTCCCTTCTGAGATGAAATACTGTGTATTTTTGTATCTATACAGACTTTTAAACACACGGAAATGAGCTGTCAACGCGTGCATGTCGACCTTGTGTTGTGGGGTAAGAGTGATGCTGGTAGATATCACCATATATCAGGACCCGGGGAACATCCACTTGAAGGCTATGGTCGCGAAGCACGATAGCACAAAAGATATTTGACCATGAAGCAATAGTGATTTGTTTTGTTTTGTTTTTGGGTTCTTCTGATTTCTTGCTCTCAATTCTCAATTCTCTCCTTGGGTTATGTTCCACTTTTTGACCTTTCCGTTCTCCAGCTCCCCGCCAACGCCATGCTGAATCAAAGCTCTCGCATCATCAAGCACAATTCCCCCAGCAGAAAACAGAAAACAGAAGAAAGAGACGGGGAGGAAATGATGTGAAGGATAAGAGGAGGAGCTATCACCTGTCTATCTAGGGAGCCGGCTTTTGGTAAGCTTGAGCTTGAACTTTGGCTTCTTCTCCTCGCCGCCCTCGGATGGACGCGGACTCATTGTGCCAGTGGCAGTCGCAGTACCGTTGCTCTTGCCCGGATAGTTCATCGTCATGGGGCTGACTGCGCTCATCGGTGCCGAGTCTGTCTCTTGTTTGATCGAGCTCATGCCATTCCAGGTTCTGAAAGCGCCGACACTTGCGCCCGTCGACAGCGCAGTGGTGACTTCAGGGCTAGCGAAGAAGTCGCCATTGCTGCCGCTGCGAGCTTGTGAGCCGCCAGTTGCAGGAGGTGCAGGGCTTGGTCGTGCCGAAGAAGAGGTGTTGATCTTGGCAGGAATGGCAAGTTTTTGCTTTTGCGGTCTGTAGCCAGGTTGAGGTGCCTGTGAAAGAATTCTTTGCAGTCGCTTCTGCTTTGAGATCTTCAGACGAACAATCTTGGACTTGCCTGGCCTGTCGCTTGCCGTAGGCTTTCTAGATGCCGCAGCTGGCCCAGGGGTGGATGCACCAGAGACTGTGCGTGATGGTGTCTGCGCATGTATCTTTCCCAGATTGAGACTTGGGCTCTTTTCCACCTTTGGCGTTGCGGCTGTACCATTTGTTGCGGCAGGCTGAACAAGGTGAGGACGCTTGGGACTACTCGCGCGTGGCTCGGCCGTTGAGCTCTGTTTACGCTTCAAGGTGAGTTTCATAGACCCACCCGGAGTAGATACAGGCAGAGGTGGTGGAGACATGGCTGTCGAGGGCACATGCGAGGGCTTCGGAGCTGGAGGAGGTTGGACCTGATGTTGTGCATTAAGCTGTCTCTGGAGCAGCTCCTGTGCTGCAGCCAGTTCGCCTTCCAATCTTTGTTTCTCTTGTTTTTGCGTCTTGACATGATCCTTGGCAGCTTTTGAGAGTTGACCTGTGTATTTGAGGCTATGTTGCTGCACCAAGTCAAACTCATCAAGGCCGAGACCTGTGAGTGGCGAGGTACGGTATTTTTCCTTTTCCTTGAACTGCATCTTGCCTTTCCCAAGGTGTTTGGTAGAGTAGAATCGAGGCAGTCGAAGGTGTACGACAAGACCGTTCGATGGATCATATATCAGGGCCGCAATATCCAGGAATGAGACCACTTCAGGTATGGCCAGCGCTGGCGATTGTATAACATGCCACAGTGCTGCTTTGAACATATCGTCGTCCACGAGGGCAGTTTTGAGTGCGATCAGAGCGAGTTCTGGCGGACTCTTCCCAGCAATGTCCAGTGGCACTAGTTGAACAGCTAAAGGTTCTTCCTGCTCAAGAACAAGACCTCCGGTCTCGATGAGCTTCGGAGCCGGCTTTGCAGCTTCTTGTGCCTTCAAAGCGATCGTGCCTAAAGCCCGGCCCAGTACTTGGAGGAGCTGGTCTCTAAAGTAGGGCGAAGGGTCGTCGCATAGCGAGTACAGCAAATATTTGAGAATCTGCGGCCGCCTCGCAAGTTTGAGCTGTACGAGAGAATCCCATGCTGCTAGGCGGACCTCGTCGGCGTTGCCAGATTGTGTGTATTGCAGGATTTCGGCTTTCTTGTTTTTCACCACGCCATGCTCCAGCAGTTTTCGCATGCATTCGAGAGCCGTGACAGAATAAACATTTTGATAAGAAGAGATCCACTCATCAATGCGGCGATAGCGTTCGAGCTCGTTGATGGCTTCTTTTTGAAACTTTTCGTCTTCGATATTCTCTTGCATCAAGTCGTCTTCGTCATCAGGGCTGATGGCAAACGTCTGTTGTGGTTCTGCAGATGCCACCAAGGATTCGGCAAGACATCGCATAAGCGTAGAAACATAGTAGCAATCAGAGAACTATTGTTCTTGTTAGTGCTTGACAGACTAGCAGTGATACATGCATCTTACCTCGTTATTGGAGTTGTCGTTGAACTTGAGCTTGTCAACGAAAAATCTCCTCACGCTCATTGGCACCTTGCCACGTTCATCTTTGACATGAGACAATGCAATTGGGATTGCTTTCTGGATGAGGTAGCTCATGCGGTCCGAAAAATCGTTGGCGCGAGGCATAGGTGAATCGGCGAAGCAGAAGAACTCCTGGAAAGCTCTCTCGAGATGGTACTGTCCCACCCAGTTCAAGCTAGGTGTAGCACATTTGGTGAGACCTGCTGCCGCTAACGTGCGGATACCATGGAAGTACCGGCGGTCCATCAATGTTCTGACGAGGATAGTAGACATCAAAGGATGCGCGTTTTGCTTCAAGACATGCTGGAGCGNACTGTGAACAATTCAGCGTGGTGTCAAACAACATGGTAGCTCGTCGCGTCTTACCTCGTATTGTGCAACGACATCTCTGTCTTGTTGCAATTGACTGACATACATGTAGATGGGCATGATCAAGTCAATCTTACCAATCCACTCAAAGTCAGCGTCCATACGGATCCACTCGTAACTTTCTTGGCCCATGCGGTCTTCCTCCTCTTTGCCCCAATCGACCAAACGCCAATCTTTGACTTCGTCTTCTGATTGAAGGACGTCACCAAGACAATAAAGCAGCACATCGTTTTCAGCTTCTCCGCCGAGATCGATGCCGTTGGCAGCCATGGCTCGCTCTTTCGCACGCTTCGATCGTTTTAGACGTTTGTACTTGGTGTTGTAAGGAATCTCGATCTTGGTGTGCGTGTCCTTGATCTCCACGATATGTTCGTATGGCGTGCCATCAGCTTCGTGAATACGAATAGTCATGGGTCCAGTAAAAGGATCCGAAACTTCTGGAGCCCAGACTTCCGAAACCTGCTCTTTTGCTTCTCTCATGAAGTTTGAAGGCTGGAGCTCGGGCTTGATCTTACGCTCGCGCTGCGTTTGGTATATGTTCATCTCCACGACCAACTTCTTTTTATTGAATCGTTGGTTCACCTTGAATAGCGGACAGCCAGCACCGTATACCCACTGTTTGAAGAATGCATCGAGTTTGGTATGGCCCAGTTTTTCGCAAAGACGATGGAACCAATCAGTAGACAGCTCTCCATTCTGAAGGTCACCGGTTTTTGCGTTTAGCAAGAGCCTGGTGATGATTCGCGCAACACCCGCTGCTCCACTCGCTTTGGTAAGTCGACGGTCCAAGATGAACAGAACAACTGCAGATTTGAGAGCCATAAAGTCGTACTCCGAAGGATCAATGTCAAGCTGAGCACCAAGTTGATGAATGCTGTATCGTTCAACGTCTTGCTCGAACACTTGTTCAGAAGCAAGCTTTTGTTGGTAGCGGTACTCGTTGTTGCCAGCAAGCTTCCTCATGAATGTGTCTCGCATGAAACCAGAGATACCGGTAATGGCCCACATATCTCGAGCTTCTCTAGGAATGACGTTTACGCCCACCCATTGACTCGCAAGAGCATGGACGAGCACACGAGTGTTTGCATCCAGAGGTTCGATAATGTCTTCTGGGAATAGTAATCTCGTGCTGCAGATCGACAAAGAAGCCGTATGCGTCACATCTTGAACCAGGTCATCAACAAAGATGAGCTTGTAGCTGGAGAAAGGGAAAGAACCGTAGTTAACGGTGAAATAGTCGATCGCNNCTGGTGGACATCAGTTGGGGTATGAACAATTTGGCAAATGCCGAGTACGTACCTTGGCCATTGGCATGCAAGTGTTTCGTAGCTCTTCAGCTCTGCCTGGCAAGCAGAAACCGTCTACTTTGATGGCGTTCTGGCCAAGCTTGTCGTCCTCATCAACTTCTCTGAAGTCAGTAAGGTCAACGTGCTCAAAAGGACCAATGGCAAAGCCGATATGGCGAGCAGTGACTGGAGCAAAGCAGGCGAAGGAGACTGTCCGCCAAGTAGGATCCTGAGGGTCAAGAANTCTGAAATCTGTCAGACAACGGGATATTGGTATATGTTTGAGACTGCATACATCGTCTGTCATTTCACCTGAGCACACAATGCTCAAGTCCAGGGACTTTTCTTCCTCGCTGAGGTTGATCAGGTACTCGTCCCGCGGCTTTTTGTCTTTCTGGTCGGTCCCGGTCATGTCCACGTCCCCCTCGGCAGAACTCCTTTGCGGCGTCTTTCTGAACGCATCACCCAACGTTTTGTGGCATCGTATTGAAATCTCCCACATGCAGCGGGTTGTGGCATCATCGACGCACGGAAAGACCGAGCAGATGGCGCCTGGTCCTAACGTATTCCTGGTGAAGAGATGTGGATATCGTGAATCTTGATCCGAGAAACCAACAAAGTGGAGGCCGTCCCGGAAACTTGTGACCTCAAATTCGATCGAGACTTTCAAAGGAGCATATCTGAGCGTCGGTTCCTGGGCATGTGATCCGGTTGGAGTCTCGGCTTGCCCGGGAAAATCACTTTCTTGTCTCCTCAGGCTATCTCTGGCCAGAGTCGAAGAGGACTCGGTGTTCAGCTCCTTGATTTTGACGCGTAACGGTATTTCCAAGGCCAGTTCGGGATCTGGCGACTGCTTGATGGCGCCCTCGATCTTGGTACGGAGATATTCATGCTGATGGGCCGTTGTTCTCCCTGAAAGCTTGATCTTCTGGTATGGGTCGGAGTAGGCATATTCTACTTTGGAACCCTCGATGTTGGCACTCAGAATACGGGCTTGCCGACAGTTCAGGCGGATAGTCTTGAGATCCTTGATTTCGGGTTGGATGGTGATCTCGGTAGAACCAGAGATGGCCTGCCTTGCAAAGTCGACGGTCAGGTCAACTTTTTGCGAGACGACGGAGAAGCCGAGATCCAGCGATTGCTCGGTTGGAAGGACGTTGTCAAAATAGCCCGGCATGGCGCCCACTGCGCGCAACCTCTTGACCAAGTGTCAGCTCAGTTTGCATTTCCCATGCCACAGAACATGCGCGATGCGGTCGCGTTGGTTCACTGAGTTCTGTCGTATGTCGCGCTGGTGTGGATCGAGGAAAGGACGACTGGGAGCGTGTGATGGAGCGGCGTTCGATGGAGGCGCGTGTGCGGCAGTCGTTCGGGGTGGGAGGAGAGGTGAGAGGCGTGAGAGTTTGGTGGATGCCGAGGCGACAACAGACGGCGAGTATAGATGCTTGACTTGATGCGCGCGCGAGGCTCTGATCGACGGTTCAAAACGAGCTCAAAGTCGATGCTGTCGTCGAGAAGTGACGCTCGGTGGAGAGGTCCGAGCTCAGCTTCGCGACTGCCTCCAGAAAAAACTACCTGAGTTGAATTACCCATACACATACCATCTTCGATACCTCTACACCTGTCACTCGGTCGAGACATTATCTGCAACAGAATAGTTCTGTCCTGTTTGTAGGTCAGCATACGAGATTACAGCATCTTCATCACTAGAACATGTCTTTCTCTCACAACCACATCGCGTGACAAGACAACGGACACTCTAACCGCGGTTTATAATGCAGTATCTGAATCGAGCAACCATAATACAACATCCCTCAGGGTATTTCGCTATGTCCATGCGCCAGAACGCCAATCCATGTATGCTAACAATATGTCATCCTGTACATCTGTCTCTCTGTCTCTGATCTCAGGCATTGGCTGAACCCATTGCCGTCTCACGCTTCATCCTCCTGCGCTTCCTTGCATTGTCTCTCAGTGCTTCTGGCGTCACATAGTCTTCTGGCAGAGCAAAATCGCCTTCCTCAACCTCTGGTATCGGCACTCCAAATGCTGTCAGAGTTCGGCCATGTCTGGTGTTTCCCAATGCCGCTGCCCGCAAATGAGGTTTCGAGTAGAAGCTGACAAAAGGACCTTGCGGCGTTGGCTCCCGATATATCGTCGGTATAGGCGCTGGTGGCGGAGGTGCAGGCTCAGGCACCGGAACAGAGGGTCGCGTCTTGCTTTTGAGCTTTCCGGCTTTACTGTCTTTTCCGCCTTTGGCCCCTCCTGAGGCCTCGATCTGTAGTTGGCGGGCCGCTGAGGCATCGAGATCGGCCGAAGACACCTCGCTCTCGCTTCCCTCTTCTTCCGCTTCGTCATCGGTCCCAGCCATGGCAGCAGCTTCCTTCTCGTACCGTATACGCTTTTCTTCATCTCTCCACGTCTTGAACTTCAACAAAAGCGCATTGACTTCGTCGACAAAGTACTTTCGCTTTGGCTCATACTTTTTAGCATCTGCATCGGCCACGCTGACAATGCCCATGACACGCAACCAGTCGTGCCCTTGCAAGGCATCGAGGAGTCTTTCTAATTGAGCCTTTTCGTGCATTGCCCTCTCCTTTTCGATATTGCGTAACTGCTTCTCCTTGCGCTCTGCTCGACGATGGGCTTTNNGGAAATAGAAAGCGTCAGTCAAAGGGTCTTTTGGATGATGTCCGACGCTTTTCTCAATTGACGAAAAGTCAATGACTTGAGCGCCATTGTATTTGTTCTTCTGCTTTGGCGAAGCTGGTGCTTTCATAGGAGAAATCGAGGGACGGCGATTCTTCGTGTTGCTCGCTATGGGGTCAGACTTGATGTTGGGGTCGTGTGCAGGGTCATATGGTTCATCGCTAATATGAATGATCGTGTCTGCAGTGATGAATTCTGTCTCTAATCAGCCATGGTCACAAGATATGCTTGAGTTGGTCTTACCTGGTTCCTTGTTAGAATCGTAGATGATGTCCTCGTAATTGGGAAAGTATACAGCCAGCTCGCTCTTCAATCGTGGACCTTCATCGTGAGAACGCAAACTACGCCTCTCTGATGTCTTTCGGGTCTGTCTTTGTGAGGGGTTCAGGGCTGGAGCCGGAGTTGCTGAGGGTGACGTGTTGGCGGGTATCGAGTCTTCGGTAACACTCAGAGATGTGCGCACGCCGTTTGTCGTCTGCAACAAAGGACCGTGTGGTTCGGAGAGGGTCAACTTGACGGGCGGTCTCGGGGACGGGATAGTCGCGTTTGTGTCGCCAACGTCAGCGGGTACCGCAGCAAGCTTCGGACCTTTGAGCGTCAGCTTGAGGCGTTTGGCGGGCCTGTCGCTCTGCGCTGGGCTCTCAGCAGCTTCATTGTTGTCCGGCAGAGGTTGCGGCGATGTGCTCGAGAGGTGCGAGGNGGGTGGTGTGGGGTGTCTGGCGGAGGAGCGCCGGGTGGGTGACCTGGTCGAGGTAGGTCTGAGAGAATTGACCATGCTTTTGATGGCAGACGACCATGATTCTTGCTCGACTGCGCCGCTTTGGTCCGTCGCAGCGTGGCCTGAGTGCTGCTGGGCCGAATCCTGTTGCCCTGCTGCGCCTGTGTCGCGCTTGCTTTCAGGCTTTCCTGACAGCCAGATCTGCAGAGGAGTCATTCGACAACATCTGGCCGGCCTACTTTGCGGCTGCGTAGCAATCCTGAGCCCTGGACCTCTCCTTCTATTCGTATCTGTAGGGATGGCTATCGTCACTTGCGAAACGAGAGCCGACTCGTTACGGGTCATCGAGCTCTCGCGTCTCCCTTCGCTGACTCCAACGTATAACTTCTTGGCAATCAATCCCCTCTCTTCTGCACAGAGCATGCGACATGTCTTGTGAGCCAAAGATCAAACTTCATCTACAATCTGTATAATGGTGCAAGACGAGCTTAGCAGGCCTCCGAGCGCCGAAATGTCACGAGTGCTTTGGTGCCATATCGACGGCGAGTATATCTACGGGTACCGCATTGTTTGTCGACTAAATGTTAGCAAAGCTTATCAAAATTCAGCCAAAGCACAATCATTCAACAACGACTACATTTGAACGTTCCGGAGGTCAGTCAACCCATTTTAAGAGTATACTGACTACCACTTCAATCCTTTAATTGGTATATTGGGGGCTTCACGTGCTATTGAATGTCTTGAAACAATTGTTGCCCGAGAAACCCTGTCCACGTGGTATGCATACACAAAAGTACACGCCGCTGATACATTGCTCAGCAAGAACTTGTATTAGCCATTATTCTGCCGCTAGATGTCAGATTTCGGTCGGCTCAGATATGTACATGTCGTAACGGGCTCAAGTGTTGATGAACTCCGTGACTATCGGGGATCGTGAAAACTGTGGGTTGAGAAGAATGCATCTGTCAAACAGGAGTCAGCATCGATAGTACTGCAAGATCAGCAGGTCGACATACGTGAGGAAGTGAGCAAGGCCTGCTTTCCTTTGCTCAAGAAACTTGGTCCGGAACCGNNTGCTGTGAAGAGACAAATAAGCAACTTGCTGGAATGCATGGGATGTCGACATTGACATACAGACAAGACTCTTCCTGGGTAGCTCTGGGATGGAGGCTTCGGAGAGAGGAAATGCTCTTACAAGGCTCTGCCTGAGGCTATCGAACTCGGAGTATCTGACAACAAGTCAGTATGGTGTGCTGGCAAGGGCTGGCATGCAAGCAAACAAACCTTTNNTTCGAAGAGTGATACTGCCACCTTTAAAGGTCTCGATTGTACAATTCCATACGACATATGCACCTATCCCCGTAGGACCACTTACAACCACGTAATCATCAACGGAGACATTGCTTGCCCAACACGCTCGCCCACTTTCATGGTCCTCATCCGATTGATCAACCAGATCTATACCACGTCCTATGGATATTGTAGCTGAATCTGTCCGCGCAAGACGGCCGCCATTGAAGTACGGCGGTATTACATGAGGAGACGCATCGTTGAGTGTGACTGATGACGCGGCCGTGTGATCCGAAGCGTTTGCATCCTGTTGTTCATGTGTAGTAGAGGTGGCGGCGGTAGCGGCGGCCAGAGGCTGGTCCTTTGCGGGGTGATTGCCGTTGACAAGAGTTTCCGTCTCCGCAGGCTCCATCCATCAATCCGTATGTTGAGGACAAAAAATAGATTGAGTTAGCGGATCCTTTGGGTTGGAGAGGTTCGCATATCCATGGGGTAGAAAGAGGTGGTTTCTTGGACGGATGGCAGTCGTAAGCGTTTGCTGGTAATTCGCTCGGTCGGCTAGCGCCAAAGAAAGACGATCAGTTGGCGAGAGAGGTTGGAGAAACAGAGCCGCCTGAAGGCTTGGCCGGAGGGTCGTCCTATCGGGTTGCCTCCAAGCGACAAGATTAGGCAGAGCTCCTCGGCTCTGATATTCCCCGAGATTCTCGAAATCTCCTCTGACTCGCTGTTTCAATAGTGGTATGCAACTGAAAAGGCCATGCCCACCCAAAGAGTCTGCTCATTGTCTGACACTTGTCCTGGTCGAGAAGAGAGACATAGAACCTGTTTCCGGGCCTATTATGGATAGAGAGCAGGTATCGGGACTCCACTTGTGCCAGAACATGCGCGGTTTGATAGGCCTGGATGCACCTAACCCGTGGTCGAACGACCCCAGAAATGCATGCAGATACGGGAAGAGCGTTGACCACTGCTTTCGCCGCCCGCCATCCCCGTTTATGCTCTAGCAAGTACAGCAAGCGGCGAGCTATGGCCTTTGAGCGTACAGGATAAAAGACTCAACGTCTCTCCTGCTGGGGCAACACTCTATATCTCTCCAGCCTCTCGTTATTAGTTGGTCCGTCACCCTATAATACCTGTGCCTACTCACTTTCGTTGTCGAAGAACACCTCTCTGCTCGAAACTTTATCAGTCACTACTCGAACAAAAAGTATCCTCATCTTCTTCACTCCAACAAAATGCGTGGTTTCGGTCTCGTCCTCCTTCCCGTGGTCGCCAAGATGGCTTCTGCCCAGTCCCAGTACACCATCAATGTCACCGCTGTGCCTGAGGCCACCAGAGGTTTGTGATGCCAATCTGTCCTCACCACGTATACATCTTTCTGACCCGTCACAGACATCTGGTGCACCAACCAGCAGAACGCTTGTCCTCTGATCTGTCTCCAAACCCCCGCCAACTCGTCCGACACTATCGAGGTATACACCCTTTTCAGACTACAGCAATACAAGAAACCATAGACTGACTCACCACCCCAGAACGACTGCGACCCCGAGACCCTCGAATACTCGTGCATCTGCGAGAACAACGTCGCCCCCAACGCTTCCGAGTACTCGCAAACAATCCCCTACTACGTCTGCACCGAATGGGGCACCGAATGCATTGCTGGCTGCGGTGGAAACACCGATTGCGAGTACAACTGCAGAGCCCAACACCCTTGCGGTGCCCAGAACCCCACTCGCGTCAACGTCACATCCTCCTCTTCGTCGGCAACAGCCTCCAAGACTGCTTCCAACCAGGGAGCGGCTACAAACTCCGCCGGTCAGACCATCTTCAGTGGTCTGGGTGGTAGCGGTGCTGCTCAGACCAGCACCAGCAGCACAAAGACTGGCGCAGCTGCTGCTCTCCAGCTTGGCCAGGCTTACGGTCTGTTTGCCGTCACTGCCGGTATCTTTGGCGGCTTTGCTCTTCTCCTCTAAGCACCGCCTGAAGAGTGTTTGGTTTCCTCCTCCCTTTTCCGTTCTCTTCTACCTTTGATTTTGCTTTCTATCTCACACTCTTTTTGTAATTACAAGCATAGCAAGCGATAGCGATATCTGACCTTCTTCATTCCTTTTTTAGCGGACGGCGGTTATCTTCGGGGCATACGTAGTACTGGGGGAGCGGCGTCTTTCTCTCCCTGCTTTTCTTTGCTGCAAATGAAAGAAAAATAGAAATGATCTATTTTTGAATCTCCATTTGATTGCTCCATCTCTATCTTTCTCATGTGATTGTACCAGTGTACCACCTCCACTTTCCCCAGATTATGCCGATCCTTCATCCTTTCAGTATCTACAAGTAAGTGTTTGATCGTCCCGAGATGCCCGTGCGAACATTGATATCTTGCAGGTTTCTTGTATTTTGGTATCATCCCTGGCACCTGCGTGTAATTCGGCATTGCGCATTTTTGCAATGCATAGGGGCGTTGATGGTCTGACACACCGTACCGCCTTTGGACGATCGAGCAGACGAAGGACGACTCATAGAAGCAGAACACAAGCCGACCCTTTTGCTTTGTTCATACACCCCAGGAGCAAAAGTCAAGAAAGTCTGGTCAAAATCAATGCAGATAAGAAAAAAGGGGCAGCATAGTCTCGCTACAGCTGTTCGGAAATGTCAATTCATGCATCATCACCCAAACAAAGGGGTATCTTTATATAACTTTTTTTCTGTCTCTTGTCTCGGATAAGCATCTTTTGTATCTTTGAATCTCGTCTAGCTGGTCTTGGGGGCAGCAGCGGCAGCCGCATCGAGGTTCGTCGTATCGAGCTTGTCAGCGACGGCATCGACGCTGGTGAGCTGTGCTTGTTTGCTGGCCTCGATCTTGGCGGCGACCTGCTCCTCGAGCTTGTCCATATCGATAGGCACACCCTCCTTCTCGGGGTGGCCTTCGGGCAGACCCATCTCCTTGAGCTTGTACTGCCTGTTCTTGAGCTCTTCCTCGGCGAGGATAAGTGCAAAGGGAACACCGTTAGTCTCGGCAGCCTTGAACTGTGCAGGCAGCTTAGGCTTGACCTTCCAGCTGAACTCGGCCTTGATGCCTGCATCCCATAGACGCTTGGCGACTTCCATGCGCTGAGGCAGGAGGCCGTCGAAGCCCTTACCACCGAATGCCATGACGTAGACGTCGACTTCATTTGTGCGAACGGCCTTGTTGCCCTCGGCCTCCATTCTGGCCTTTGTAATGCTGAATATGCGTTCAACACCGAACGAGATACCGACACAGGGGAGGTTGTTCTTGCCGCTGAACATGCCGACGAGTTCGTCGTAACGGCCTCCTGCAGCGACGGAGCCAACACCAACGCTGGGGTCATTGCTGCGGTCCTCGTCCTCGTTCTTGGGCTTCTTGCCCTTGGCTTGCACCTTTTGACCTTCTGAGGTCTTGGGGGCAGAGCCCTCGGTGACAATCTCGTAAATGACGCCAGTGTAGTAGTCGAGACCGCGGGCGAGTGACATGTCGAATGAGATTCTGTCGAGGACGCCGAATGTGTCGAGGTAGTTGAAGAGGATCTCAATGTTGTCAAGACCAGCCTTTGCAGACTCGTTTGCGCTGAGAGTTGCATCGGCTTGGAGGTCCTTGAGCAGGTCTCTTCCACCCTTGCGAACAACGTATTTGCCAATCTTGTCTGCGATCTCAGGGTCGAGGCCCTTCTCCTCGGTCATCTCTCTCTTCACCTCGTCCCACGGTGACTTGTCGAGCTTGTCAACCGCTGATGAAATGGTTCTCAGCTTGTCGGTGGGGACACCACACACGGAGAAGATGCCGTCGAGGATCTTGCGGTGGTTGAGCTTGATTGTGTATTTGCCCTTCCAGCCCAGCTCGTCGAAGATTTCGCATGCAATTCTCAGAATCTCAGCATCGGGGATCATGGGGTCGTAGGCACCGGCAATGTCGAAGTCGCATTGGTAGAACTCGCGCATGCGGCCCTTGGTCATGGCGGGCTGATCACGGCGGTAGACCTTTGCAATGTGGTAGCGCTTGATGTTCTGGACGGACGTGTTCATGGCGAGCCATCTGGCGAAGGGGACGGTCAAATCGTAGCGCAGAGAGCACAGCTCTCCACCTTGGTCGGCCAGGTCGTAGATGAGCTTACTGTCCTCGCCATACTTGCCCGAGAGAATCTCCTTGAGTTCAAAGACAGGACTGTCCGAGGCAGCGTCAGTACTGGACAGGCGATTGTTTCCCGCGTACTTGACTCACGTATCGATAGTCACAGCACCGTGACGCTTGAAGACGTTGGTGATGGTGCTGAAGATTTTGTCGCGGATGACCATGTCCTTGCCCTCCCAGTCCTTAGTTCCCTTGGGCACCTTGAGCTGGAAGCCGCCCTTGTCTCCCTTGTCCTTGCCCATGTTGGATTGCTCGTTTCGGTCCAGACGATAGATTGATGTAGAAAATGCGCGATTGGCCAGATACTGGAGTGCAGGCCTGGAAAGTGGGAGTTGAGAAGAGAAAGTCCTTGCGAATGGTATGACAGCCTTCATGCAAGCATGCAAAGCCAGTTTACGGTATACAGGTCAGAGTCACAAGAGCAGGTGGAGGGGTATGAGATCCGCCATGGAAATTGTACGCGATGGAGTCATGCTCTTGGCGTTTTGTCGCCTTCACGACCATGTCAAGGCCACACGTTTGTTTCGCTTCAACTTCAACTCGCGACTCTGCACCAACTTGACTTTCTTTCCTCCACGCCTTCGTGATTGCAGGATGTGATGGCGCCCCATGCAGAGATAAACCCTCAAGACATTACCGAAAGGGCGCGCAGAGATCTGCTCCAACTGCTCGAAGGCGTACGTAAGGCTACCTGGACACTGGTCGCTCGCCTTTCCATTCCACCTGCTCACACCCATTGCGCAGGTTCCTGGCAAGAAGAATCTTGTGATTGAAAAGTCTCTTGCTGGCCCAATTGGCTTGCTCGTCAAGTTCAGCACTCTGCAGGAGTATGGAGTCGACAAGGTCTTCTATGTAGAGAACCGCAATGTCGACGACTCTCAACGCAACATCGTCTTTCTGGCTAGAGGCGAAAAGCCAAAGGATGTCCAACTCATAGCTGGTAGGTCATGATTGCTTGTAGTCGTTGCCTTGCATAGCCAGCCCTAGCTAGACATATCCCCCTTCACCATCACATGGGCCTTAAAGTAGAGTGCGCAGGTTTACACCTACCCTGCACGTTCAGTCTTGTGCCCTACATCAAAATCGTTACATTGACAGCCAGTCGATGCAGCATGAATCATTAACTCTCTCTGTTGCGCCGCCGTTCCGAGAGACGTTATCATTACATGCTAACATATCCCATAGAACAGATTAGTCAAATCCGTCAAGAAAGCAAAACCGATCATGAATTCTCAGTCNNTTTTTGGGTGCCCAGGCGAACCCTCGTCAGTGATAGAATTCTCGAAGAGAATGGTGTGTTGGGAGAGGTGACCATTGGCGAATGTCCGCTATTCTTAATCCCTCTGGAGCCCGACCTGTTGTCGCTGGAGCTGGATGATGCGTTCAGTGACCTGTATCTGGTACGTTTGTTGTGCAGATACGAGTCCATGCTGTACTAACATTAGCACAGNCGCAAGGATCCCACCTCGATCTTCCTCACTGCCAAAGCATTGATGCGCCTACAAGGATCCACCGGTCTCTTCCCTCGTATCCTAGGCAAAGGTGACAATGCAAAGAAGCTCGCAGATTTACTCATCCGCATGCGTTCCGAAGAGGAAGTCAGCGCATCCTCTGCCACATCCAAATCACCCTCGAATTTCGGTCTGACTCCAAGTGCAGTCGTGGAGAACGTCATCATCATCGACCGCGAAGTCGACTTCTTCACACCTCTCATGACCCAACTAACATACGAGGGCCTAATCGACGAAGTCTTTGGTGTCCGCCACAACCAGACCGAAGTAGACACGTCCATCGTCGGCGCAGCACCCCAACAACAGAAGCCTCAAGGAGCAGCCGCAGCAGCAGGCAACTCGACCCAAGCAGCCACAAAACGCAAGATCCAACTCGACAGCTCCGACAAACTATATCCCCAACTGCGCGACTGCAACTTTGCAGTCGTAGGACCNTTGCTCAACAGAACAGCCCGCCGTCTCCAATCCGACTATGAATCCCGCCACAAAGCCGATCAATCAATCTCTGACCTCAAGACATTTGTCGCAAAACTGCCTTCCTACCAAGCCGAGCAAGCTTCCCTCAAAATCCACACGTCCATGGCTGAGGAAATCATGAAGACCACCCGCAGCGAAATCTTCGGGCGTGTGCTCGAGGTCCAGCAAAACTTTGCAGCCGGCGCTGATCCCACCAGCATGAACGACAATCTCGAAGAACTGATTGCCAGAGACATCCCTCTTGCCACCATTCTGCGTCTGCTATCTCTAGAATCATGCATTGGCGGCGGTATCCGTCCGCGCGAGCTCGAAAACCTAAAACGCCAAATCATGTACGCATATGGGCATCAGCACTTGCTCACCTTTGCCGCGCTCGAGAAAATGGGCCTGGTGGTGACGAGACAGAGCAATACTGGATACTTGAACCCCATGGGCGGCGTCAATTCAGGCAACACTGATTACAATTCCGTGCGCAAGACTCTTAAACTCTTTGTTGACGAGGTGGACGAGCAAGACCCCACAGACATCTCGTACGTGTTTTCTGGCTATGCACCGCTGAGCGTGCGATTGGTGCAGTGTGTGCTGCAGAAACAGATGTTGGCTAGACTCTCCAACCCGAGGTCGTCTAGCACACCCAATGTCAACGGCGGGACTGCGAATGTCACGCCTAGCACGCAGGCAGCGGGTTGGAAAGGCTTTGAAGACGTGCTTGCGAGAATCAAGGGCGCTACTGTTGATGAAGTGCAGAAAGGGTCGAGTGCAGAGGCTTCGCAGGCAAGACAGACGCTTAGAGGTGGTGCTGGGGGTGGTTGCAAGACTACGATTTTGGTCTTCTTGGGTGGTGTGACGTTTGCCGAGGTTGCGGCGCTCAGGTTCATGGGCGAGCAGCTCGGAGACAAGAAGAAGATTGTCATTGTGACTACTGGTATCTTGTCCGGCGACGCTGCTGTTGAGGCGGCTATGGAGACGAGGGCTTGGGGTCGCAAGTAAGATGTACAGTATACAGTGATAATGAGGAGCATGTGTCTTGGTTCAAAAGAGTCTCAGAGTGTCGTTGTTCATATGTTCATTACAAGGCTACTAGTGTTCTACAGGTAGCTACCGCCAGAGAACTTTGAGCCGAAATTGGAAGCTTTGTTGAGCAGGTCCTTCTTGTCAACAAGACCGAGCGAGCTTCCACCAATGTCCTTTTCTCTGTTGAATGCGCGCTTACTGGGATCGTCATCTTTATTTTCTGGGTTCGTCTCTTTGTGTTGTGCCATCAGTGATGGTCCTCTTGCCTTGTCCTGTAGCAGCATGTCAGCTTGAATGTATTTGGCTGTAGATGCAGGCAAACTCACGGTCTGTTCGCGAATACGTCTTGCCTCGGCCTCTTTCTCCTGGTTCCTGGCAGCCTCTTTGGCATCGACGTGTCCGGCAGCTGCTGGCTTGACGCCCATAGCTTCGTCTTGCAGACGCTTGAGTTTCTCCTCTGGTGTTTCTGTCCATGCGGCGGCAATGTTTCCTCCAGCAGGAGTTGTGTTGCCACCTCTTGCATTCTTGCCGGTATTGAAGCCTCGAGCGCGCATCTTGGATGGATCCATACGAGCTGCAAGATCGTCTTGCTGGGGTGGTAGTGTCATCCATTCGTCGCGCTGAGCTCTGACGGGCGCTGCTGGTTGTGGGACCGAGGGTCCAGTGTTGTTGGTGGAAGGATTCAAATCGGCAGCGGTAGGCAGAGCTGGGCCGAAGTCATCGTCGTCGGAGTCGTCGTCGTCGTCTGAGTCTTGTAGCGGTGCTCTGGGTCGTTCATCGAGAGGAGCTGGCGGCGGTGCGGGGCCAGCGACAGGACGTGTGGATTGAGAAGCGGAGGGTGGTAACGTAGGGCCGACAGATGGAGGTGACACTGAGGGAGGTGGTGAGGGAGCTGCTAGTGCTGGCGAAGCTGATGGTGGCAGTTCTGGACCGGTGACTTTCTGGCGTTTGTCTTTGGGGCTTTCTTGGTTTGCGCCGGAAGTGGTGACGGGCTGGTCTTTCTGTTCCTCGTCTTGCTGACGCTTCCTCTTAGCTAGAAGATGTGGAGGGAGCGCTGGGCCTGCTGCCGACATGGTGGATTGATGAGTATGGCGGGTTGTTGATGAATGTGAATGATTGTTGGCGATTGCAGCGCGTCATCGGTATCGCTTCAACTTCGGATTGCTGTTGGAGAGCGATGGACTTAGGCTCCAACTGTCAAGGCATTATCTCCACACGCTCGTCTGCAACAACGACGACTCTGTTTAGCGCTTGTATATCGTACCCAGATCCCATCACTCCGGGAGCGTCTTCTGGAAGCAAAAAGAGACTCGGCGTAGTCGCAAGAGACGGTAGCAAGAGCAGGGAGCAAGCAATGTCCACAGGCCGACACGTTGGTCAATGAGCTCCCCGCCCGGCCATGCCCATCTGCATGGCCACGACCAAGATGGCACCTTCCCCTTTCCACAACACCAAGATGCCGAAGACTCGTTCCTGACAGCCCATGAGACCGTCAGCCATCCCGGCAGCCCCGTACCTTTCCCGGACCAGCCCGTCCAGTCCCTCGAGGACGAACTGAGTGCACAAGACATCGCCGACGTCGACGACGTAGCCGACCTTGGTCCACAAACCCCCGATCTCGCCAGTCCCTCCGAGTCTGCTTCTATCCCAGATGACACTCCTTCCGTCCAAGGTTCGGTAGCATCCTCGCTACCCGTCCGCCGGCCCCGTCTAAACCCGCGTGCCTCGACCAACTCTCCGCGCACCCCTTCTGGTGCCCTTCAGCCTTTCGAGCGACGCTTTAGCTCTAGGTTCACCTCGCCCTCGCCTTCGTCACGCGCCGCCTCACCCGCCTTCCTGACTCCACACTCTCGCCAATCCTCCCTCTCTTCGCAGATTGTCCTGTCGCAAGGTGGCAGTGATATTGCAGATGCTCCAGACGCCCCTTGGGAGGTTGTACGATGGACAAGATTACGGAAGATCACATCTCAGGCTTTCTCGGAAGCTGGCAGACGCAACTTTGGTACCCTGGTTTGTCTGGCCGTCTCCTCGTCCATCTCTGTCGGCACGTCCAAAGGCCTGATCCTGGTCTTTGACTACCATCAGACTCTCAAGGGAATCATTGGCCAAGGCACAAAAGCTATCGAGTGTGGTGCCATCACTGCTCTTGCCATCTCTGCCGACTACTCCGCCATCGCTGCTGGTCATGCCACAGGCCACATCTTTACCTGGGAACTCGCCCGTCCTGCTAAGCCCTTCTTGCATATTCCTCCCACACCAAGAGATGACCAATCGCATTCTCCAGATGGTCATGTACCTGGTCGATCAGTCTTACATATTGGCTTTCTCGGCACACGCCGTACCGCTCTTGTCTCTGCAGATGATGGTGGCATGGCCTTCTCTCACCTCGCATCTCGCGGTATGGGGGCCATCTCTCGCTCTGTCAAGACTACTCGCTTGCTGGGACGCTATCCGGCCCCTAACCTGCAAGAAGAGATCCGGATCAAACCTAGTTCTGTCCTTGCTTTCGCACCACTTCCTCTGGGAAACGTAGAGCAGGCTACTGATGCTATGGGGCTCACAGCTCTGCTCACTCCGTATTTGCTTGTTATCGTGTCCACCACACCGGTCGCACAAACACAGCACAAGGCCTCGAGACCAAAGTCGATATCACGCCACAGTGCCATGAGTGGCTGTCTCGCTTGGTTCCCAGCAGTCAAGTTAAAAAGTAGCAACAGTACCAGCGAACGTGACACTTCCGAGACCAAACTCGTCTACTGTTGGTCAAACGTTCTGACAGTACTCGATGTCGACGTCCAAGTTTCACAAGATCCAGCGGACAAGGAGAAGCCTCCAAACTTGTTCTTCCATCAGCGGAGTAGCTGGGAGTGCGAAGAAGCCATTGTCGCAGTGCAGTGGCTGAGTCGTTCCGTCATTGGCGTACTCACCATCAGCCAGCAGTTGATCATCATAGAAGACGGCGAGTTACATGTCATGGACTCTGTGGATCTTTTGCACAGACAGATACATCATCGCGATATCTTTTCGAAGCAACTGCATCCTGTCGTTGAACAGGCTGACAATGAGCACTCGGAAATGCACGGAGTCATTGCAGATGCTTTCTACCAGAGTTTCCGAGTTTACAAGAATCGACTCTTTCTTCTTGGAGCAAGCGATCTTTCTGTTGGCACACTCTCAAATTGGGCAGATAGATTGACTGCATTGATCGAACATGGTGACTATATTGCGGCTATACAGCTTGCCAGAGCATACTATACTGGACAAGCTGGTGGTGTCACAGTAGGTCTGCCGGACAATGCAGATGCTCGACATGAGTTGGTCAACGGGAGATTACTCGAACTCATGTCTGCGTCCATTCTGTTTTCCTTCTCAGAGAACAACAACAGTGGGCGACCGCTGTCTGATCTTGTGGCTGAGTGTTTCGATGCTTGTGTGAGCATGGACAACCAAAGCTTTCTATTCGATGACATCTACGAGCCATTGAGAGATGCTGGTCAGAGAGAAGTGTTCCTCGAGATCCTGCAATCTTATATCATGGATGAAGAGGTCACAGCTTTGCCGCCGCCGTTAGTAAAAGACTTGGTGGAGAGTTGCACTGCGAAGAACCAAGTCGCTCATCTAGAAGAGCTCTTGTGCCGGCTGGATCCGCGCATGTTTGATCTGGACCAGATCACAACTCTTTGCAAAACACACTACTTATACGATGCATTAACCTTTGTCTGGAATGAGGCTTTGAACGAGTATGTCACTCCATTGACTGACTTTTTGGCACTCTTGCGCGATGTCAAAGATGTTCGAGACCAGACAGAGGAGGCAGCTTTAGAGTCGGTCGTCAAAGTGTTTCCTTATCTTGCTTTCATCCTGACAGGAAGGAAGTACCCACAAGGAGACTTCCTCGACGACGAAAAAGCCGACACCCAAAAGGGAAACATCTACCGATATTTGTTTTCCCACGAACCTACCCCATGGCCACCAGGATCTTCGTTCATCTTGAGAACCAGACAGAATCCTTCAGACGAGCCCGCCTTCCCTTACTTACGACTTTTGCTCGAGTATGATTCGGCAAGCTTCATGAGCATGATGACAGAAGCTTTCGAAGACCCCTACCTCAATGACTCGCAAGAAGACGACACTACGTCTGTTCAACCAAAGACTAATGGCAACGGTCTGAAGATAACTCGACAATATATTGTCAGTGTTCTGCTTGACATAATGTCATCGGGTGATTTCATTCCTGAACAAACAATCTACCTCGACATGTTCATCGCTAGGAACTTGCCAAAATACCCCCAGTTCATGGTGTTGTCGAGTTCTTCTCTACACCAAGTTCTTGACCGACTTTGCAGCTTCCGCGAGGATGGTTTGGCTGACGACTGCCAACTCAGTGCTGAGTATCTTCTATCTGTATATCATCCTCCTATCACGACTGCACTGATTGAAAAACTTCGAGATGCCCAATTCTACCGCGTGCTCAAGACGTTGTACAGAACCGAGCACAGACCTGTCGATCTCCTCAACACATACTTCGAAGATCCGCAAGGGAAGAATGGCATATTTGACGATCTAGCATACGCTCTACAAGAGTCTCATGGCAAGCAAACATCCCAGCTGAAGGACGTCTTATGTGAACACGCACAAGAGTTGGCATCCATAAACACTTCGAAGACTGCACATGCCCTTGCGAGATATACCGACGACATCCTCGAGCGATTTGTTGACGCCGTCGAGGAATCATACACTCGATTCCACTTCTTACGCACATTACTCGAGCCCTCACTGCTTGACCAACGTTCTAGGAAGATCGCAAGCGAGCCTGTCTCAGAAGCCCTTGTGTCACGCTTTTGTGAACAATATGTCGAGCTCATGTGTGTTCATGATCCTCGACATGTGTCTGACTATGTTGGACTGCTAAAGTCTGGTGATCTGGATCTTGATCGTGTGCTTCCTTCATTGGAAGAAAATGGAGTGGTCGATGCGGCGGTCTTGCTTATGGCTCAGGATGGACTGGCAAGAGATGCGATAGATAGACTCTGCAAGCATCTGCGGACGTTACAGAACGCCATCTGCAGTCTGATTCAAGCAGCATCAGAGGCACCGGACGTACAAAGCACAGAAGAAGCGACTGACGATCTACTAGAAGCCATCGAGAAGTACACACGTCTAGGTATCTGGCTCTGCAACGGACAAAGCGCAGCAATGCATCAACCACGCCAACCACGCCAACGCACAAACATCGCCTGGGATATCAAGGAGACCGACCTAGAACTAGACGAACTGCTCTGGCTTAACCTTATCGATGCCATCGTCTTGGTCTCCAAATCCGTGTTCGCAGAAACCAATGACCTTGTTGACGACAGCTCTTTCGATATCGACAGAACGAACAACGCTCTCCGCGGCACCGTCCAGCAAACCTTCACAGCCCTCCTCAGCGCCACCTCAACCACATTCAGGAAACCAGAAGATGACGAAGACCGTCAGACTACTCGTCGCAGCCAGCACAACCAATCCTTCCTCTACATCTTCCGCGCCTTCCTCTCTCGCGTCTCTTCCTCTTACGCGCCTACCCTCTCCGATCTTCGCGCAGTCCTCCTCGACGTCTTTGCAGCCTATGCCCACGAGTCCTCAGTCTTGAACTTGGCTTCCTCAATGCTTGACGTCGACGTCTTTGCCGACATGGACAGCATTCATAGCCTACGAAACCGGGGCTGGCGCCCTCGCACCCAGATCTGCGAACTTTGCAAGAAGCGCGCTTGGGGCACTGGAGTCGGTGTTGTAGAACATGACCACGAGGCCATCTGGGAAGAGTTTGAACGTCTCGAAGAGCAAAGGTTGGAGAACAAGGCACAGAAGGCCAAACCACTGGATAACGGGAAGGGCAAATCTGTGCAAGTGGGAGGTGGTGTGGCAGAGAGGACTAAAGATAGAGAAGAAGTGGTCAAGAAACAGACGCTAGTGGTCTTTGCTTGCAGGCATACTATGCATCGGGTTTGTCTTGAGGTCGAGATGGCTGGAGTTGTCAGTGCGGGTGAGGAGGAAAGTAGTGGGTATTTCTGTCCCGTGTGTCATGAAGAGTAGAGCCGTGGTTTGGATGCATGGAAGATATGGGGTAATGTGTTTAGTTGTTTGATATCTTGTGTCGAGTAGACATGCATGATGATGTTTTCAAGTTGGGAAGGTGTGTCTTTGATGCCTCCCTTCCTTTGTTCTCTGTCTGTTTGTTCGCTCCTGCCCTCTATTCCTCCCTTTTCTCTTTAGAAGCTTTTCAGTCCTGCTTGAAAACTTGATCTGCCCCTCAAAGCAATGATCTGTCTGCTTCATGACCCGACATGGCGTCTCTCCATTGGACCAAGCAGCGCTCTGGGCAAAATGACCATTCCGTTCGACTTCCACCCGGTTACACTTCTCCTTCCCCTTACTTCTCGATCCGGTCTCAAAGTCTCTGCTCCCACTCCTGCAATCTAGCCATGCAATTCTCATGATAGACTTTACTCATCAAGTTGCGAAAGTCTGGATCGTCGACTTGATTGTAGAGTGTTGTCAATTCGTCGACGCTCTTTTCGCCGAGTTTCTTTTTGATGGTGCAGAGTTTGCGTTTGCGTGCTGCTTTTTGGAGGGGGGAGAGGGTTTTGAAGAGGGGTGTGTGTGGAGTTGTGGTTTGTGCACTTGATGGGTTTGTGATGCGAGAGGTGGTGATGATGGGGGGTTGAGTTGGGGTAATGGGTTGAGCGAGAGGTTTGGTTGTTTTTGCAGTGGTGGCGGCTGTGGTGATGGAGGTTTGTGATGTTGTGGACTTGGTGGTGTTTAGAGTGTTGACGGCGGTTTGTGTGAATTCGCAGTTTAGACCAGTGTGGATGATGGATTTGTTGTTTTGCTCGTTGTTTGTGTCTTTGTCGATCATGGCGGTGCTCATGCTAGCGCTGTGGGATTGAGATTTATCAATCCTGAAGGATTAGATAGGCTAGAGAGATTGGGTTTCTCGTGGTACTCACTTGTCCCAAGATGCGGTGGCAGAGTTCTGAATGCGGTCGGAGTCCTCCCAAGACTCGGACGTTTTCTTGTTTCCTTGTGTTTCTCTTTTATGACTCCAAGAGGTGGTTGAGGGGTATGGAGACGTGCAGGCAGAAAGAGGTGGAAATAGATCAAGAGTCGAGAACAGAGGATGTTCGAAAGAGCGGGAGGTGTTGCACGTAGATGAAACAAAGAGACGTTGGCGTGAAAAACAATTCAAGTGAGAATGTCTGTTGAGAGTGAGGAACGTGTTAGAGTGAGAAACGTGTTGGAGTGAAAGTGTGATAGTGCTTGGAAGTGTTTGGCACGGCAGTGAAAGTAGACTAAAGACGAGTTGTGTCATGACTTTTTGATTCAAGATAAAAAACAATGTGCAAATATATGGCGGCCATTTTCCTCCCTCCCTATCCTTCGTGATCCGATCCTTCCATGCCCTTAGGATACTTTGAAAAGTCTCAATCTTGACTTCCAATCTGTTTCTCCCAACCCTCAAGCGTAGCCATGTTTTTGTCATAGATTGTGTCTCCGATTATGTTGCGAAACTGCTGTTCCGTTGCATCATCGTATATTCTCATAAGCTCCCGGTTCGTCTTGGCTTTCAGCTTCTCCTTGATTCCTCTGAATTTGTCGCACAATGCATCATTTTGTTGTTGGGTGAGGTATGCTCCCAGCTTGTTCCTGCTACATGTCTTTGTCACTTTCGAGGCGTTGCTTTGCATGATAGGAGTCTGTGGTGACTTGATCGCTCTGGCAGCATTAGAGCCGATGGTGAGCTTGAGTTTGAAGTTCTTGTTTGTGTTGGTGTCTGCGGCGGTAGTGACTTCGTTGGTATCGTTCATCAGAGCACTGTAGAGTTATATTATTAGATGAGTTCAGGGTAATGCGACGAATGAAACTCACTCCTCGCAGAGCTCCTTCACATCACTGACAATCACAACTGCATCAGAATTCGAGTCTGACATCTTCCTTCTGGTGCTCGAAAAGGCTGCAAGATATAGTCGTGGAATAAAAGCTGAGCACCTCCAAAGGTGGAAAGAAGCTGAAGCGTCGACAAAGACAATATTGTCAGTAGCGAGGTGGAAGAAGGTCCGAAGAGTGAGGACGCCGACTGAAGATGAGAGAAACAGTGAAGTGAAGGCAGAAGACTGGAACGATCATTATATATAGCGCAACGATTAGGGATCTCAAGGTCGTCTCCTTCCAAAGATGACAAAGGATCACTGAAGTCTCAGTAGTGCTGAATAATGATTCTCTTCTCCGCAGCATTGGTTTGTCTTTACTGTATTCTGTCTTCTTACATTTGTGTGTATGCTGATAAATGAGAGAAATGGAAATAAACTAAGGTAATAGTAGAAATACTCCCTCCTTTGCTGCAAGAAGTCACGGCCGTGTCCAGCTACGTTTCCATAGAGCACCAGAAATCAGACCCGTGCCTGCCACTCCTGAGAGGACCTTGTTTCCGCTGCTCAAGAAACTTCTTTGGAAGTCCAACTTTCTTCCTCTGAAGTCTAATGCTGAAGCCCTTCTCTCTTCAGCTGTGCTGCTCTCGTGCTCATTTCGTTTTGTTCTTACCCAGGTATGTTGTCAAGCTGGCTGTCTCACTCCTGTATTCCAGCCATATGTTTCTTAAAGAGAGCTTCCTGAATTAGATTCTTGATCTTGTTGCTCGCATGACTTCTCAAAGCCTTGTCTTGTAACATTTGGAGTTCTAATATAGACTTTGTTTCCAGCTTTCTTGCGAGCTGGTTTCCTTTCTGACGTAGCATGTGAAGTTGCTGTTGGTTTAGATAGGACCCAAGACATCTCTCCCCGTTCTTAGATTTGGTTATCTTTGCTGGGTTTAACAAAGCGAGGAGGACTATAATGTGTAGCACTTTTGCCAAAAGGTGATTCGACCATACGACTCTGAGAATTGTCCTGCGTCGTAGTCGGGGGTTTCGCTTCTGTGTTGCTCGGGGAGAGTGTCAGGGGCTCTACATGCGGTTGACTACTATACCAAAGACCAGTCAACAAATCTGAAGACTTTACACAGTAACATGGCTTACTCCCGAGTCGAGTGAGTCGAGGCTCTATGCATAGGAAATAGCTTGGATGGCCATGCGTCGCGAGCTCTTATCATTGCGCTTTTCCAGTTGGGGAAATCTGTGTCTGGATTGTTCATATTGCGAGGAAATAGATTGTGTACATCCCTTGCAGCCGCCATCCAGACGACGATATCATCGCATGCCTCGTCTTCATCCATAATATACTTGTGGCATGGAAAGAGATGAGGCGCAGATCAAGACAGTCTCTGCCGCGAAGTATAGAATATCGAGGTTGACGCAGATGATAGTATCAACTGAGGGCTCAAGGGGGTTGACAAAGTGATAGATTGTCAGCGGAATAAAGATGTTGTCTGAAGAAGACATAGTGGTTGTGTAGAAGTAGCGATCATTATTTTGAACACTAAACCGAGAGTGATCGGAGATTTAGAGGAAAGTTATGATCAATCCTCACTCCATTTGAAGAGACTAAAGTCATCAGACTGGAAGCTGAGTCTCGTGATACTTTGGAGAAGGAAAACTTCTGTCACAGGGAGGCGTTCAGTATCATGAGATATGAAGGGCAGACAGCCTGAAAGTCTTGGATTCGTCTGCAAAGTACAGAGTTGTGCTTGGAGTTATGGTTTACTCGACAAGCCGTCTGTTTCTCACAAACACAAGTGTATTCAGTGTATTCAATCTTGGTGGGGAGGATAAAAAAACTTTATTCAAGAAGTTCCAAGCCGGCATCCATCTCATGTGCTATCCTCTTATAGAAAGCCATATCCCAAATCCACTTGTCGAAGACTGGTTTGAAGACCACTTTCGCGTGGAATTGAGCTATGAGATCGTCCACCTTCTGTTCCATAGAGAGAAGGCCTTCATCCATTTCCTCCTGGTCGATTTTCCTATCCCACTCTGCAGAATAGTGAACAGCAAACTCGGCACGAGCTGGCCATTTGGTGATCATCCAACAAAAGGTAGGCAACCCGATGCACAATTAAAATTTGATAGAGATGAGCAGACGATGCATTGCGTGTATCTTAACCTGCTCCGTCTAGCGAGTCCACAAAGCCAAAACATCTGTGATAGCAGTAACCAGCAACAGAGCTAATCAACATGAATTCAACACAACAGCCAGTCACTCATCACTATCATCGTCAACAACCTGTCTTCTCCTACCCAGCTGTCTGCGCACAGGAGCAGCATCCTCGTCTCCATTTCCATCAGACACCACCTCAACAATCTCATCCGGCATGCTAGATGGTCCAAAGTCAGGCAAATCCTCATCACTCTCCTCAGCGATATTGTCTTGGGTGAATAGATCGAGTCTGTTTTTCTTCGGAGGGTTGTAGGCACGCGGCTGAGAGCTCGAGGCAAACTCAATAGGTGCATCGCTGCCAACGACGAAGTCGTCGAGCTCGGAGTCGACCTCGTCTTCTTGATCATGACCTTCTTCGCCAGATGTGTCTGCAGAGCCGAGATCGATGCCTTGTGTACCAAGGCGTAGATGAGCAGGCGTCGGTTCTGGGCTTGAAGATGAACCTTCCATATCTGAGCTGTTGTGTCTGGCTGTTTGCTTCTTGGGACGACCACGAGATTTGGGTGTCTTTGCTACAGGCGGTGGTTTAGGAGCCTTTGGAGCTTTGGGAGCCTTCGGTGCTTTTGGCTCTTTCGGTTCCTTGGGAGCTTTGGGGGCTCTGGGTTTGGCAGGAGCCTTTCTTGCTTTGGTAGGCTTGGCTACTGGCAGATCCACATCTGAGAGATCTGCAACAGTAGGATCTCCCAACATCTCAAACACATCACCTTCGAGGTCTGACTGATGGAAGTTGTCCTTGAAGCTTTGAATGACATTGTCATTCATGCTGCCCAATCGCTTCATCAAACTCGAAGCTGCCAAAGAAGCTCTCCCATGTGAGATGTATTTAGTCGGCCCAGGAAAGGAGCTTGAGAACCGGTCCAGTCGTGGTAGACCGACGGTAGGAGCACGGTCATTTGTGTCGTGAACAGACTTGTATTTACGTTCAAGCTCGCGCTCACAGATCTTGTTCAGATAGACGTCGTCAAGCGATGGTATGGACACTGCCTCAAGTCCTGGAGGGGGACGGAACATCTTTTTGACTGCAGCGGCAGTCGACTTTCTGCCCTTGGCTTTGCCGCGAGGTGCCAGTTCCTCTGCATCTTCGTCGTCCATCTTACCTGCTGCAACAAATCCTGTTCGAACGTTGTCAGGCATGTGGAACTTTTTCGGAGGTGCCTTCGGAGCCTTTCCACGACGTTTCTTTGGTTCAGGAAGCTCAGCTTGTGAATTTTCCACAGGTATCTCGACAACTCTCTTGTCCACGGCTGGTTGAGTTTCTCTGGGAAGAATACGGGGGGATCTATCATCGTGGAAGGTGAAATCCTTGCCAGAGGCGATCATACCTTGCATCTTCTCGTAGTTGTCTTTTGCCTTTTCAAAATCAGGGACTTCTTTCTCGTTCATCAAAAGTAGGACAATGTTTCCTCTCCGCTTTCTTCCGGTACGTCCCATACGTTGGAGCATTCTGATGGGCGAGGCAGAAGCGTCATAACAGACGATAAGATCAACTTCTCCGATATCGAGACCCTCCTCACCGATGGATGTGGCAACTAGAGTATTGTATTTGCCCTCTTTGAACTGCTTGATGACCTCGAGCTGACGTTTTTGATTCATACCTTCCGAGTTCTTCGAGTCGGCTTGGCCAACGAAAACGTGTGGTCTGATCATAGGCTGGTTTCTGTTCAGAACACGAACAATCTCCTCAGCACTGTCACGGTATGCCGCGAAAATCATGATCTTAGTGCTCGAAGGTTGTCCTCCTGGCGCTGCTGCTTTCTCCTCAGCGTCAAGAAAGTGGTT